GTAGTGTTCGTGTTCGCAGTCGTACTTATATTTTAAATATTACGCTACGAACATCATCAGATGCGATTTGCATAATCTAAAACTTCGAACAAGTTCAGACGGTGTTTTTCCGCTACTGAAAACCATTGACCTAATCTAAAACTTCGAACAAGTTCAGACGGTGTTTTTCCGCTACTGAAAACCATTGACCTAACGTAAAACTTCGAACAAGTTCAGACGGTGTTTTTCCGCTACTGAAAACCATTGACCTAACGTATTGAAAACCATTGACCTAACGTATTAGTGAAACGCGCTGGTGATGTTCGCAGTCGTACCAGTATTTAAAGTATTACGCTACGAACATCATCAGACGCGATTTGCGTTAATCTAAAACTTCGAACAAATTCAGACGGTGTTTTTCGATGCTGAAAACCATTGACCTAACGTGTTAGTGAAACGCGCTGGTGGTGTTCGCAGTCGTACCAGTTTTTAAAGTATTACGCTACGAACATCATCAGATGCGATTTGCGTTAATCTAAAACTTCGAACACATTCAGACGGCCAGCACTCCAATCGCCGTCATCGTCATCATTCTGTAACTTTTACCGGTTCTTGATGCAGTGGTGTACCCAGGGAAACTCGTGGTTGGGCTTATTCCTTCTCCCATTTTCTGTTTTAAGACAAATAAATATTTTTAATGGTATAAGCCAAACTTTATAACATTTCAAATGACAAACAAAACTGTATCATTTACTTTATAGTTTTATTGACTGCCTAAAAACACACAGTAATTACATTATATCAAAAAGATTTAATAGTGTTTGTGCCACCAGTCAGTTCGTAATTCAATTCCCCACAAAATCGTTATTTAATGAAAAATTTTGCTAAAGGTGTCTTTCGCTCATTTTTACGAACATCGTCCATAATAACTAATAAGCATGCAAAACATATTACTAATCAAAATTATTAACACAACATATTTGCACTACTAACTTAACTAAGTACAATATTAATCATAGTGCTATAATTAATTAAACTAAAATAATTATTACATAATTATGTGCTTTTTCAAAAATCCATATATATTCGATTAAGATTCACTTTGCTTAAATTATTATATATAATTTTAATTTATTATGTTCAGCCTCCCTCCCATTCCTCGTGGTAAAATCCTGGATACGCCACTGATTTTCAATTTCAGGTGTGTAAGTAAGATCAGACCGAATTCATCTCGTTGCCGCAGTCGAAGACACAACTAAAATTGATGTTATTTGTATAAGTTTTTTTTTATTTAAAAGTTGTACAAAAAATAAAAACGTTTTATATTATTATGTAAAATATTATATTAAAATGTAAAATGTCATTTAAATGATCAAAATGAATGTATATCTTCTTCCCCCTCGTACACTAATCCAATATTAAAACAATTGTACTGCATAATTATAAAAACAAGATTACTTGGCATTGTAAACCTATTTGGATATGTGCATTGCGCTGTTCATATTTTTCGTTGATAATAAGTAAAACTGTATACTTAGTGTTTTAGGACAGTATTTTCTCGGGGTAAGAAACTATTTACCACCTCACGTGTTCAACGGCGGGCTCCAATTTTCGTAATCACGATTATGTTAGTAGCGTGCTGGATTTTAATTTCAACACATCATACACTATCAGTAACCATTTATGTTTATTTATAATTCCAAAAATGGTGGGATGACGAGTACTTCAATCCGCATCGTCATCGTCATCAACTTGTGTTTTTACCGATTCTTAGGTAAGTAAACTATCATGCGTGTAAGTTAGATTGGACCGAATAATTCTATTATTCGTTTCACCACCGCAGTCGAAACAATATGTTCATTGATTATTGATGTTCAATTTTTTTTTTTTATTAGATTTTAAGTAATCATTAACAACAAAATATTAATAAAATATTGCACGATATTATTAAACCCAAAAAATTGCATTGTAACTAAGCATTAGACGAATAATATTGTTTACGTAGTTAACACGCAGATCATAAGACTGTACTTGTTCGTTTGTGACGGTGTTTTTCCGGGGCTAGAAACCATTGACCGTTTGTATTAGTGAAACGCGCTGGTGGTGTTCGCAGTCGTACCAGTATTTAGAGTATTACGCTACGAACATCATCAGATGCGATTTGCGTTAATCTAAAACTTCGAACACGTTCAGATTACCAGCACTCCAACCGTCGTCATCGTCATCAATCTGTAACTTTTAACGGTTCTTGATGCAGTGGTGTACCCAGGGGAACTCGTGGGCGGGCCTTTTTTTCTCCCTCATTATCTCCCTTTGAAACATAAATATTAAAATATATCACTTTGACGCTATAATCCAATCTTTATAATATTTCAAGTAGCAAAAAAAAACTGAATAATTTACAAAATAATTTTATAGAATATATACTATGACTAAAAACACATGGTGATTACAAAATATTAAAAAAAAAAAAATCAATTTTTAGTGCTACCAATCGATCTGTCATGCAATTCCCCATAAAATCGATATTTAATGCAAAAATTTACAGTATGTGTCTTTTACACATCCTTACGAACATCGTTCATAATAACTAATCAGCATGCAAAACATAATACTAATCAAATTATTTATACTGCGTATTTGCACTACTAACTCAACTAAGTACAATATTAATAATAGAACTATGTACATAATTATATGCTTTTTAAAAAGCCATTCACGATTGATTAAAAAATACTTTGCTTAAATTGTTTATAATTCGCATTTATTATGTTGATCCTCCCCCTGTTACAAATTGAAAAATCCTGGATACGCCACTGTTTTTCAATTCCAGGCATGTCAATGAGACCGGACCGAATTTGTCTCGCGGCCGCACTCAAGAACACAACTAAAGTTAATGTTCTTTGTGTATATTTATTATTTACCAATTATTAAATATGTATAAAGATATTAATATATTATATTATTATTTAAATTTTATTTTTTAATTTAAGATGTTTTTTCAAATTATTAAACAAAATATGTATTCTTCCGTCCCTCTTATGGCGTAGGGAATTTGGCGCTCCCATCGCCCGGTACACTGTAAGGTGTATCGCAATAGCCCCACATTAACTTTAGTTAGTTAATGTGGACTGGCCCTCCAGGTTGGGGGTTGAGTGTCGGGCTAACAACCCGACCTCGTAAAAAAAACAAACAGTTAAAAGAATCATCAAAATTCTCTATCTTTAACGGCGGAACCTGCTTTATCTGCATAGCAGAGAAAATATTTAAAGTAATTAGTGTAAACTGATACGCTTCAAAAGAAGAAAATTGCGAAGATGTAAAGAACAACATTTATGAAAAACTAGAAAGAATATATTATGACGGTTTACCACTGCACAGTAAAAGGAAGACGGTAGGTGATCCAAATGCAAATGTTGGAAAGGAGCACATTGATAAATTTCGCATACGCAAAGGACTTCATAATATGCAGTACGTATTGTCTCAGAAAAAGCATACACAAAAATACCAGTCAAATCTCCAGATAGAAGGGCATATAATTAAATTGACCACACACTTATAAAAAGAAAACAGTGAATACGTAAGAAATGTGAGAACATGTAGGAGAGCTGACGCAGATTCTGATCGTTGACTAGTGTATGCTTGATTCGATTTAAGACTATCAGTAAAATGGTACGTAGTATCAAAGAAACCTACAGTGAAATACAATGTACACTAATTGAATGACATCGAAATTTATTGATAATAGGTGTGTAGGCGTTAACGTCTATAGCAAAAATGGCATGCATACAGGAATAAAAGAACGGATTACGAGTGGAAATAGGTATTGTTTCAGTATTATGCAACTCCTAAGATGCAAGTTACTATCCAAAGAATCGAAAATACTATTATACCGTATTTATCTTCGATCTGTAATTACTTATGCGTGCCAAACACGGTCATTGATCAAAGGTGACAGCGAAAGACTTATCACGTTTAAAAGAGAGGTGTTTCAAAATAAATACGGAACCATTTTTAACGCCGAAACACAGACAAACGTAAGAAGAAACAATTAAAATATGAAAACACTTTACAATAGGCCAGAGATACTCTCTTTTAATCAGAGAAAACGACTAGAATTTTTCGGGCACGCGTGGAGAATAGATGGCCGGCTACTTTAAAGACGTTTTAGAAAACCAAAATAAATATAACCTACCTAACTAGATCAACCTAAAACCGGATGAAATGACACAGTTAATAAAGATTTAGTAATTATAAACAGAAACACGACCTTGCAAACATCGTAGGTTTTCTCGGGACAGAAAATCTTTTGTCACCTAAAGTGTTCAACGGCTATAATGTACTTGGCGTGCGGGACGTTATATACGACGGCGCTGCAAACGTTATCGGTAGCGAGTTGTGTTTGTCAAAAACTTCAAACATAATTGGACGACAAGCACTTCAATCCTCATCAGTACTGTAATCAACTGGTTTTAATTTCAACGGTTCTAAAGTAAGTGGGATTTCAATCGTGATGAGATCGGACCGAATTAACATCCGTTTCACTGCTGTAGTCGGAAACACGATGTTTTTTTTTATAAATGGTGTTCAATTTTAATATGTTGGTTTTTTTTTTTTTTTTTATTTAATCATCCGGAAAAAATCTATTATTTTTTTCAATCACTTACGGTGAAATATTTTAGCGATATTGCATGTTATTAGGAAACCCGATAACTTGCATTATACGTATAACAAAGTGTTAGATGGATAATATCGTTTTCGTAATTAGCAAGCAGCTCACAAAGTTATGTTTTGTCATTTAGGGCAGTGTAGTTCCGAGGCTGCAAACCATTGACCTCATCGCGTGTTGGTGAAACATGCTGGTGGTGTTCGAAGTCGTACGTGCATTTGAAGTATTACGCTACGAACATCATTTGATTAGAGCAGAACATTATTGATGGTGGCCTAAGTTTGTTAAGTACTTCAAACACGTTCGGACGACAAGCGCCTCACTCGTCTTCGTCATCGTATTCAACACGACTCACGGGATGATTATCATTTCGCAACGTGGGCGGGCCTGACTCATTGCTCGACCTGTGTATTTATTAGGTGAGCAAAGTTTCAGGTGTGCCGGCGTTGCGAACAACCGCTCTGCCTGCATCACCGTCGTTATCTGCAACAGCACGATAATTGAACGATCCACATGTCGCCTGAATCTTGCTTTGACCTAATACATTTTGCAAACAAGGTGAGCAAAGTTTCAGGCGTGTAAGTGAGATCGGACTAACTAACTCGTCTCGCCGCACTACCGTTTTATCTCGGAATGTATTAATTTTTTTTTTTCGGAATGTTTAATTTATATAAATCTTAATAAAATAAAGATGTACCATTTTGAAAAAAAAATTTAAATAATTATATAACGTGGCTTACGGTATATTTCTTAAATATTCTTAAGTTGTATATTATTACAATTATTTTTAAAAAAAGGTTTTATAATTTTAGGTAAAATATTATTAATTTTATGAAAAAAAAAAAAAAAATGTGAAAAGATATTTTAAGTACCTAGTACCTAATAGTATAAAGTTTTGGACATTTATTAAGATTATTTATTTTTTTTCTATTTTTCCATACTGTGACCCCTCCACAGATGCGTTTTCCATTTCGAATTTAACCGTTACCGGATTACATACTCTAGTGATATTTAGATAAAACCTAAAATATACATGATGTTTAAATATTAATAATAGTAATTAGTATTAAGTTTTTATTGTTATTTTTGTTTTTTTTTTTTTTATTATATGTCTATATTGATATTATATCTATTTTAATATAAGAATTTTTGTTGTCATTGATAAAAAATAACCTTAGGCCTCCACACGAGTTCCTCTATCGTTTGGTATTAAAAATTAAAAAATTAAAAATTTTATTTTTAATATGTATAATGAATTTAGTTCAAATATGAATTTTTGTAGTCCTCATCCCCACGAGTAATATAAAAAAAAAAACATAGTTTAATTATTTTTATTATCTGCGGAGATATTCAAGGGCATGCCTTCGCGGAACAGCCTGTATAATAACGTTATATTCAATAATATAATGGATAAAATATTGTATTTTGAAAACTTAATAAACTTCATAAACTTCGGTTTAAATATTTTGTTTATTAAATAAATTACAAACATTTGTAATAAACTACAATAGAAAAATCCAAGTTTAAAAATAATAATAATAGAAGGTTTCGAAATTGTCCGTGCTTTTTTTTTTTCTAGTTTACTTACCCATGCTACTCAACCTTAAAAATAATAATAATAACAAAAAAAAAAAATTAAAAATCGATGACAGTCTCACCACTGAAAACTGAAATATTATACCTGCAAGATCGCAGATCGCATCAATCTGTCATCGGAAGGCGTAATGTGCATACCCTTTTTCTTAACTAGAAACCAATTACATACATAGAAATATATATCGATAGACATTTCCTATGGATATAGATTGGCATAGCGAATTTTTCTGACTATCGAATCAAATTTAATTTAACGGCGGCTACTCCGTCGAATCTTCTAAACTCCCGGTACTGATATTCGATATCGAATCATTTTAATACTTAAATCAGAAAAATATGATGGATTTTGACGATTTAATTTCCGGAAGCTGAAATACTATATCGGGTATTCACGAGTACTATTGAAGGCTAAAAACATATAGAACAGGATACAGGATACAGCGTACAGGATGCTGTAGAATGCTACACCCACATTAGGAACAATGCGTACCATTTTTCGATTTTAAAAACTAACGTTATGTTACTCTGACGATTCGGCGGCTCAAAACTGAAATATTATATCGGGACTTCGTGAGCAGTTAGTTATTGGATGATAATTGGGTTCCGCGCCGTAGGGATGTTGGGCGGTTGCCACATGGACTGCCATCATTCCAGGAACCGATTTTGTTTTTACTGTGGTGTGTTTTTTTTTTCGTTTCTGTTTTTGTAATTTACATAATATAGTAACAGCGCTGACGGTTATTCTTGGAAAGAGTACTTTACGTTAATGATTTTTATAACGCGGGGTATGTATTTTAATTTTTAATTTTTAAGCTGTAGAAGTGGCATTTTTAAAATTTTTTTTTATTCATTGATTGCTTATAATGGACTTTTTAAACGTTTTTTTTTTTTTTTGTAGACATTAATTTTCAAGCGGTTTATGTCCCGAACCAGATTATTACGATTAGTAATTAATAACAATCTATTTAGGATAAATTAAACGCGAGAATGATATTTTATATTTTACGATTATCTTTATTTTTATATCGAAATATCTTAGTTTGACATTTCTTTCTTATTTTCTTGTGATATATTGTGTTGACCGTTTTACTTTCAACAATCAGTCATCGCATTTATTACAGTACTTACACTACTTACTACATAATATTTTAACCGCATATACATACAAACATTTATTTTTACGACCACTGCAGCTGTGTTTGAACATTTTTATTCTTGCTAATAATAATATTGAATATAAAAATTCTTTTAAATTTTTTCACCGTGCAATTTTTTTTTTTTAAATTCTTGGAACCAGTATAGTGGTAGTACTGCAACAAAAGCAGCGTGACGTTACGTCGTTAATTTTTATAACCCAGTATGAATGTTTGCTTTTTATATTTCCATAGAACCGTGGTGATATTTTTAGTTCGATTTATGTAAGTTTGTATGTTATAATTTATTTTATTTCGTACGCACATTGCATACACTTGTGTACGTGTACATGTGACATTTAAATTAATAAAAAATCCAAACATAATTCACATTATGGATTTGACACCGTAAGGGAGTATGGAAGGCGTAGAATAAAGGATAATTTAGTCTGGTTACAAACAGATTTACGCTAATAAAAGGTGCAGGACACACATAGGATTTACAAAATCATCATCAGGTCATAAAACCGGCATAAGCGAACAAATGACTGAATATAAAATAAAAATGATAAACACATAGATAAATTGTTTTTCATTGTTTTTCACAGAAGAATTCTAAGAACCGGGTTCTAAGCAAGACATCCCATCTCGGATGTGCGCAGGGACAATAAGCGAAAGGAGGTACGCAGGATGGTGTACGCAGTTGATATATCTTAGATAGGAGAAAATCTGGAAGAAAGGAACCGAGAATAAATGGAAGTAAAACGGAGAGCATGAGTTTGGAGGAACAGGATAACATGGTTAATCACGTTAATGGCAATAAGTAGTGTCGTTATAGTCGAAGGTGAAGTTTTAAAGACGAAGGATCTTTTGTACAAAAGAACGGTGACTTTGACGACGATGTGAAACATAGGATTAAGTGTAATCGAATAAAGTGAAGCATCGGGTGTTTTACGTGACAAGAGAGTTTTAATGAGACATAAAGGTACGTTCAAAAATAAATTTTAGTGAAACTACCTAAGCTTGTTTACGCAAAGCTTATTTTTCGCCAATCTCGAAATCAAAAAGCAATAATAACCGTTTTATATTCGTTCGATTCGGGAAACCAGAATTAATCGATGAGACAACTTGAAGTCTATAATATACGTTCAACAAACATAAATTGAAATTCAAAGCGTTGTCAATGGTCGGTTTTATCTAGGAGGTCTAATAAAATGATACGTATGAACTTTTCAATAACATTTTCAATCTCCTTCGACCTTTAGAGAAGTTATTTTTGGATATTCCTTTTACCTTTTTCCTGAAAACTGGAAAACGTACAAACAATAAATCTGTCTAATAGAAGACGGACAGATAAGCCGCCTACGTATCATTTTTCAGCTCTGTTGATTCCTGTTGATGCACATCCGCCCAAACTTCAAAAACTCCTCACAGGACACCTCAAAATTTCAGAAAATGAAATTACATTTACTTATAATTAAAGAGCTATAACTTGCAATTTACTCGAAACTATTTGGTCGTGGGGTGTACAACTTTACAGACGTGTCTAAAACTTTTATATTTTATTAGATCAATAAAAATTTTGTATTTGTAAATTGTGTAGGGCGCATACTCGTTCTGAAACTATTACTTAAATGTGAACTTTCTATTAATTTTGAAAACGAATTGAATCGTTTTTCCATTTACGAAATTGAAACCATACCGCAACAATATTAAATTTAGAGCGATGTTTTATTTTTAGTGTCCATTAACAAACTTTTCCACTCAAAAGTATCTTATCTCAAAAACAATTCAGTTCAGCGTTAATTTTTCAATTTTCGCGATCGTTCACTGAGTAATCAGGAAGAACCAGAAAAACTCAATGGAAAACCGGAAATTATACGCAATAACTGTAGTTTTTTTTTTTTTTTTTTACTGTTATTCAGTTTAAAAAATTATTTCATATTTGATATCTGATATTTGCATGGATTACTTATTTTAGCACTTTCCAAACATGCTACGACTATAAAAACATTTTGACATTTATTGATTTTTTTACAGCTATTTTAAATTGTTTTAGTTTTCTAAAAATTGTTTAGTTTTTATACTTCGATGAGAATAAAATTGTAAACCGTCCTCGTGGTATTTTTTCAATCTGTATATAGGTACTTGTGATATTTTTTTAAACAATTTATATTTAGGTACGTATTTATTTATTGCGTACAAGAAAGATTATTTATTTGTTTATCGATTTACCATGCGCACCGATATTAAAATATTCCGCGTACAAGCACTGCGTATTTTCATTTATAATTTATTAGTTATTGTTGCGCACGAATAATTTTGGCGGCGTTCGTCGCAGAGTTATACACCGTTTACCATTGCTACGGAACAAAAGGGTATATTTTTATAATAATAATAATAAAAAAAAAAACCGAAAAACCGAAAAACGCCGCGGCAATGTAATATTTTCGTGCACCCGTATGTTTGTATGCGTTAGAACAAAATCGTTATTCCGAACCACACGGCGCGAAACGTCTGCGTTTATTTAATACGGTTTAACGCGAGCCATGCAGCGTATCATTATAATTTAATAGTTCCTACATCGAAATCCAAATGTTTTCCTGCGAATTCGTTTTCCGTTTCTCATAAATACATATGCTATAATCAGGGTTCAGGATAGCATTATTCGCTTGGAGATTTTTATCCTTAGCTCCGCGTTACACTCAGCAGAACGCAACGGAAATGTATGCTATAATAAATATGAAATTTGAGAGTGCTATTTTTTTTTTTTTTTTTTTATTACGACGGTTTTAAAAAAAAAAAAAGTGTTTTTGACTAATTTTAGATCCCGAGTGTAACGAACAATGTATTGGTTTTACAAAGACGTTTATTTATTTATTTTTTTTTTTTTTTTATATGAACACTATTTCTATCAGAAAGCTTACTCCGATGTATACGACGTAGAACATTTTCTAAAAGGAAATTTTCTTGGGGTAGTACTTTAGGAAGGTAATTTTTCCCAATAAAAAGTGAAGTATTAAGATTTTTTTTTTTTCTGTGGACAACTTTTCTACCAGCAATATTGCTTCGATTTACAACGCATGGCACTTTTACTGAAAGTTAATCTGCCTGGGAAGGTACTTTAAGGAAGACGTTTTTCGATTTTTCAAGTTTTTTTACAGCAATTCTTTCTATTTATCGATTCGATTTATTTATACACTTATTTTTTTCATTTTTTATTGCTTTCCTCTTCTGTTACCTCGTTAAGCAAGCATTCAGTGAGGTGACGGATCTAATTACAAACAAAACAAATCGACTTGACGTCGTCAAAAGAGAAGACTTACGTCTTCACCTCACAAGGATTGAACCAAATTTAAAAAAAATTAGCTTTAAATCACCAAGCACAACTATTTCACTAATTAATACAATTATTGCAAAACATTTCAACTATCCAATTCGATTGTATTTGTTCATTGAACTTAAACATTATATTAATGTTTGTATTTATTATAAAACTATACATTTTTCACGTTCCTATATTACTTTTATTTTTATTTTAAGGGTGGGTGGGGGGGATGTTGAAAAATAATTTGCTCCTTAGGGAGGACGGTAGTTTCAAAAAGGAAAAAAAAACCACTGCCCTATATGATTTTACGTGATAATTTAGCCTTTTTATTCTATTAGGTATCTAACTTATATATATATTTGTTTGTTTTTGTTTTCAATGTAATCTAATTGTTACATCAGTAGTCGTTATAGGTATCAGACAATAACAATTGAAGTAGAAATTTAAAAATCTTTTTAATAGTTTTGAGAAAGAAAAATGCTAATTAATTTTTTTGCTTCTTTTAAATATTTTTTAAGTGCTTATTTCAGGGCTTTTAATGAAGATTTTCGAGCACCTCTTTGTTGATTTTCAGTGTTCGAAGTCCCGAACTATAATATTATTATATGAACGAAATAAAAACAAATCTGATTCGACAAAAATCATATATTCGGCAACAATAGCGACGTATTGTTGTAGAGTCATCGCTAGGATAAACTCTTTTGAATTGAGGACAAAAACGATCATCAATTGTTATTTATCTACTAATTACATAAATTTAAATGCTAACAGAATGGATATCGACATTTAAATCATTCGGCGATTGCAATCGACCGTTTGGCCACCTCTGTATGGCACTGCATTGATATTATACGCCATCGAATTATTCCGGAAATATTATAGACACGACCTCCTCCCTCACCCGAAAAAAATTCCTGCGTACACTACTGTTCTGTCGGACGGACTTTGATTATTTCAGAGTATCTGTTTTGGACAATCCCCGAGTCACAATTGTCGTCTAATAAATTGACTGACCTACATACCCTAAGCCCCCTTAGGTTTGTGTGTCTAATTTACTGTTTTGTGTTTTTGGTTTGCTGCACTCGCGATAACATCTCGTTAGAGAATTTTTACTAAAACAAAAAAAAAAACAATTTGGATTTAGTTAATTTATTTTTTTTTTTTTTTGTGCTCACTTCATCGTTGATGATGCAAACTTTCCGATCAAACAATTCACAGTTTTTATTACTAATTTTTTAAACAATCGAACATTGCTTTCCCATACAGGAACCGCTCGGATTCGAATTACTTCGATACGACCAACACATATTATTATCACTACTCGGTGTACCTACCGGACACGATAGTTTTTCGATTTTTTCGATTTTCTCATTGAAACAGTCTTTATCGATAATAAATAACTATTATAGATCAACAGCCTACGTTCATTATAATATAGACAATGTATATACATTAAAACAGATAAAAACAGAATAATTTATAGAAAAGTATAAAATGAAATCTAAAATAAAAATTTAAAAAAAATCACAAATTAGAAAAATATTATATTATAATTTCTTAACATAAATGAGCTTTATATTGTTATACAATATAAATTATATTTCTGACGTCCGAGTAGTTGACTATTTCCGGGACACCCTGTATATGCCCGATTATAAATTAAAACCTGTACGCTTTATAATGTATTATAAATTATAATTGTCTACAAGGGTTTTCGGCCACTCATTCGTTACACAAAAGCAACAACAACGCGAATACATTTCGCGAGTATTATCAATTCTTTTTGACTTTGGGCTTCTTTGATTTGCCGCGGCACAAGCAACACGCGAACAGCTTGAAAACCACGTAGGATACGGCGAACAGGACGGCCGACAGGACGGCGCCGACGTCCAATAGGTAATACTGGAACCAGTACAGATCCATGGCCGCCGTCCTCAGGTGCGGCGCTCCCCCGTGTCGGGTCACGTACTCGATCCAGTAGACGGCTTTGTCCAACGGCCGCTGAGGATTGTCGTTGAAAATTTTCGACACTCTCTTGGCGTTGGCCGCGTACCTGCGTACGGTAAAAATAACGATACGTCAGTATGTTAGAAATCATGTCGTGGCACTAAAAATCCTAAAACGAACCCAATTATAAAAGTCCTAGAGAGAAAAAAAAAACAGAAAACAACTTGGAAAAAAATCGTTATAAACGGACGTGAAACAAATGATTTTGGTACCCGTGACTATACCAGAGCGTTCGTCACGACACTCAGTCATTGCCGAATGTGTAAAAATATGTGAAACATAATTGCAAAGTAAATTTGGTTTTATTTCAATTATAATTATACAGATTATACGGATTTTTTTTATTAAATTAAAAGTATCTGAATCCGGATAAAAATATGTATTCACAGCAAAATCCGTTTACTATCATTTTTGTAGGAACGTGGAACAGATCATGCGAACATTGAATAGTGGTCCACTACTCTATCGACAAAACAAAACACTTGGAATAACTGTGGAATGTCTCGTTAACGAGTCGACAGAAATCAAATACTTAAACTGTTCGTAGAAATATATAATGTATTATATTTATTTATGTTCTTATTAAAATATAGGTATCTATATGAAAACCGAGAGCGGGTGTCTATAATGGTTTGGTTTCCGAAAATTAAACGTTCACGAAAAATATCGGTAATATAACATTTTTAGAATTGCTCGTTTTCCTAAATTGTTGAGAAAAAAAACGTTTCGATTTAATGTACACTACATTAAAGATTGATCACCCTGTGTGCGTAGGTTTTTAAAATAAAACAATATCAACTGCTATACATGGCGTGTTCAGTGTTCGCGTAGAAAAATTGTTTGAAGATTTCTATAACTCTAAATTGTATTTAAAGCGCAGTGCAGTTGGTTGCTATTTTATACGCCTACGTAGAGAAAAAAAAAAGGAAATTTTTTAGTTAACGTGTATCATTTACAAATAAGTTTTATGTCATTTTGACGGGTACTTAATACTCGGTGTCGTGGCATGAAACCACTTTTAAAATTAAAATCAATTTCAATATTTTTGAATTGGTAAATCATTTTTTTCAAGAAATTTGTTGAAATTGCCTATACACAACGCCTTTAATATTAGACTTTCAACATCTTCTTAACGATTGATTATTACATTTAAAAATGTATCTCGTAAACAGTCTTACCATAGGCGCAAATAGCTAAGCCCTCCCCAATTCGAAAAAAAAAAAAATAAAAACGTATTGAACCATATGAGTATGATAACTTATTAAGCATATACATGTATTGCGTTTTTATTTTTTTAATAGGTATATTATAGTTTGAAATAGGTAAAAATTCATTGTATAAATTGATATTTTTTCTGATCGGTCGTACTATCAAAAAATGTTTCGCATAATATTCATGTATGTTAATATCAATTATTAGTACCATTGTTTCATGGCGGACACAGGTATAAAATATTGAGTCGTTTTTTTTTTTTTTTAATCATTAGATATTTTCGAGGTTCCACCATCCAAAATTTGAAACACTATTTGCGACTATAAGTTTTACAAGCGTATGCGTGTTTTTTTTTTTTTTCTGTACGCGATAAACAAAATACAAAAAGTGAATATTAAATGTTAACCGTAATAATTGAATGATGATTTTTCATTTAGAATGAAATGTTTGAAAGTTTATTCGACTTTTTAAATTTATTACATACGGATCACTAACTATTTGAATTTAGGGATTAGGAAATAGATATTGATTAATAATTTACCAATAAAAAATATTACTTAAATCAGTTGTTTTACAAAAATATAGAAATTCATGTTGATATCCCTATCAAAAAGGTAATAAATTGAGTTAGTAAAATATAAACTCCCGCAATTTAAGACCGATGACGATGTAACCAAAGACCGTTGAAAACTAAAAAAAAAATCACAATGAAAATAGTACAAATTAAAAAAAAACCATATTATTATATTAATTCGACCCTTTGGTAACATTAATTAATCAAAAAATATCCAATTGAGCTCCACTCGGATCGTATTTGGTTGACGAATCCTTAAACCCTTTTATTCGGAACCTAAAAAACACTAGATAGTATTTTGTCTGTCTATCTTTTCATACTTTCACTTACAACAATGTGTTATTGTCGGTTCATTTTTAAAACCCAAATTATTGTAATAGTGATTATTTATTATTCTTAAAAAAACAAAAAAAATATGTACAGTGAAATTATTGTTCAAATAATAAGTAATAGTAATAGATTATTTGGTAATTGGTAACAAACATAATAGGCACAAATACTTAACAACAAAAACAGTAACAAAAATTATAAATTTATACTTCGGAAAAAATGCCTATAGAAATAATAGTTATTGGCATCAAGAAAAAAAAATCGGTATGTACGTGAAGTATTGCTGCGTTGTCTTGCATTTTTAGTATTAATACAAACATGGCAACAACTATTATGGACAATGTATTAATGTTTACGTAAATCATTTTCTGTGGTTTTCAATTTATCTAAAATAACATAACTGCTGACCAAATCAACGGATCGGTTTTGGGTGTGAATATACGATTATTTGTACAAGGCAGTGATATTTATCATTCGATATTGCGGAGAATGGCACACGGCACAACTGGCTCATTTTAACTTAATGCTTGAATTTTTACTTTAGCAGTCTTCACCTTCATCATCATCATCATCAGTCTTCTTCTTCATATTTTTCGTGATTGTTTAATAAAAACACTTGGTTTACTTCCCGTCACTTGGATTAGTTTAATATTTTCATGGTCAATGCGTTTGTATGTTTTACTAGTTAATACGTCGCGCGTGGTCGTCATCGTTTGTTTCTGGTAATAAAATATACCGACTATGTCTCTTACATTTCTAAAATACTTTGATTGGATTTTTGATTAATTTTTATTTAAACAGTCTTTTTAATCTTTTTCGTGACTGTTTAATAAAAACACCTGATTTTCTTCCTGTCAGTAATCTGGCACGTGTAATATTGTCAACGTTAACACGATAATTGTCCTCATATTTTCGTTTGTTTGTTTTAGCATCACAACTAAATACGTCGTCGTTGTAATTTGTCTCTGGTACGGGAGTTTTTGTAGGTATGTCGCTGAACAAAATGTACCGACTAGACCTTACCTTGCTGAAATAGTTTACTGTATTTTCAATACGACTTTCTTCGTCCTCGCTTACAAAATGTTCGTTTGGCATTAAAATACTAGCTATGAAAAACATCCAATCTTTAAACTCAGTATCGTTTGAAAACCATTTTGTCCACAATACGTAATCAAAATATTTTACGTGTTCTTGAATAGCGTCGATGAATATGTTTAGTTCGATCTTGAGTTCATTATGCGAGATGCAACAAAGTTTTTTCATCTTGTGGAATACCAAAATAAATCCAGCAGACAAATGTACCATATTACATTTAGTGTTATCGAACACCATAACAAACGTCTTAATTCGATGACTAATCTGCCGCCACAGAGCAGTTTTCAACGTAAGTTCTGAATAAGACTGAAAATCTTTTTTTGAAAAAAGTGAGGCCAATTCATTTATGGGTTGTTCATCATAACTTATATCATCGGTTTCAATAATTGTACGAATATGATGCGACGTCTTAATAATGAGTTCATTTGATGCAAAAAGCGATTTCGCTTTTTTATCGGGTTTTTCATTTGTTAATACTTCTGGTACAGAGTTTCCCAAACGGCGTGGGCGTCCATGTCCATCATTTAAATCCGGACTCTGAATAGAAAGATTGACATCTCCTACGGCAAAACGGCCGCTGTTCGATTCAAGTTGTACTGCAGAATTCATCTCTCAACAGCAATTATAATAATAAGTCAAAAACTACTCGAATAGTTCACTAAATGAAATGCTAATAAATAATATTCAGTTAACTCTGCGGAATGTGTGATCAAAAAGTGGACTAGCAAAATTATGATTCAAATCGTCACAAACAAATTGGTATATACGAAATTTCTGTAGATCGCCCGTGACAACCAAATTAATATTATTAACAACTTTGCTGTTTTTTTCGGCGTACTATATTATAGTTACGGGATATTGCACACGTGCATTGATTTTCGTATAAAATTATTTGGCTCATGGCTGCTATGAAATAAAACATTTAAGCATAAATTTACCGGAAATATGATAACATGACAGTGGCGTGTTCACGGGTTCGCCGGGGGGAGGGGGAGTAAACAAGGAATTTTTTTTATCCGGATAATATCGACACATATTTTAAAAACATAACAAGATACAAGTGAAAAAAAAAAAAATGAGAAAAAACGATTTGAAATAAAATAAAACCAGACATACAATAACGTGCCACAGAGGTATTTATTGAAAATGTCGATAAATCATAGTGATCAAAAGACGATTCTGAACGGTGAACCGGTAAACCGGTAAGGTATATAGTATCGGTTATGTTGTTCTCCCTTTGTAGCCAAGGTAACCCAGAAATCGACAATCGTAAAATCGAATTTGTTTTACAGAAAATCAGTTGGGAATCTGTACAAGTGTCTCAAATAAAGTAGGTACCGCCGGGCGATAAATCCTCGTCATTTCGGATACAGCGCGATAACCTCGGAACACTATTATTAGCCGAGTGTGCAAATGCTGTGCGCATTGATCCTACACGATTCGTGTACCTACCTATGCAATTTTTGTAGCCGAAAAAAACAAAAAATCAAACAACTATGCGACTATCGAACTTGTAATTATATTTATATATAATAAATTCGTCCCTACGCCGTTAATGATAATATATATATATTCAATAATATATTATTGAATGGTGTAACTGCATTTTTGCGTTTGCCTTTTCCCACATGGGTACGAGATAGTATATTATATGAAATTTCGATCCGGTATTTATTGGATTCTAGACGTATTCAATTTCAAAATTCCAGTATCCCCCCTCCACACCGCCACTCGCCATCACTCGCCTCACACCTTCCCCTATCCCCGTTTGAAACGCGATATTCCGTGGTTTTACGGCCGGGACAGAATATTGTACGGGTTATATTGCGTGTGTGTACAGGTATACTCACGACGGGTCGTCGATGAGACGATGCAGCGCGCTGTGAAACTTTTCCCGGGTCATCTCGAAATACGGTACGTGTATAGCGTATCCTCTCTGTTCGGCCAACAGGACGCTCATCATCTGATCGCCGAACACCGAGATGCCCAACATGGGCAATCCGTGATAAGTGGTCTCGATCATGCTGTGTATACCGCCATGCGTGATGAACAATTTGCATTTGGGATGACCTGGTCAAATACGTACAATGTTTAAGCTCGTTTTATATTTTCAAGCCAAACATTTTTACGTTGGCGAAATTTTCAGTATCAAGCTCGGCGATACTGTAGGTATCTCAAAAAACCTGTGTTTTCTAATATTCACCTCAATAGGTTTCAATAATATTGTCGATCGTTTTATTTATGATTTGTTTTTTTGTTAAAGAACGTTATAAAAAAAAATGCATCGGACAAGTACATGATACGAATAACCATATCAGAACAGATACTTACTTCAAAAGCGAAAGTTCTTATTTTGAAACTGTTTTTCTTTTTTTGTATGGAAAGTTTTAGATAACGTTTTTAGTAAATTTAAATTCGGGTTCTAAATTAATGTCTCTTGTGATACCGGAAACTCCGAATCGATTAGGAACCTTACCCAATATGTCGTTTTGCGGAAACCATTTCCTAACGATTACGTTTTTCGGCAGGTCAGGCAGCTGATCGCTTTCCCATTTCCACAGAACGGTCTCCTTTATGGTAGTGAACGCGGCCAATAGCATCGACACCGTTTCCTTGGGCATTTGAGAGGATTTCACGTTGGAGCCCAGACTGAAGTACACCACGCCGTGTGGAGCCGTTTCCATGACAACCTTTAAGTCCTACAAAGGGTATGTGAAGACAATTGTATTATTATGTGTGAACGGAAATTTACTCGTTTTCTAATTGACAATACTGGCGTAACCGATCACCTCGGGTAGCTGTCCGGATGGTACGCAATGCATGCCGGCCACGTTGACGAATCCGGGGACCGAGGGCGCAGGATAGCCGACGGCGGCTGGGTGGCTGTTGACCAGCGTCAGGGACACGTTTTGAAGCATGTCGGTCAGCGGTGGCCGATCTTCGTAGCCTGGGTACACGAAATGTTTGTCGGCCAGTGCCTGTTGTCGGGGCAAGTAGAACGCACGAGCCAGCCAGGTGTTGCACAGGGCGCTGACCGTGTTCCTGACTCGCTGCACGAACGTCATGCGGTCCGTGAAGCCCATCGTAAACTCGGGCACGTACGACGGATCGTACGGTTGTCCGTGCCACTGAGACACCCGGACGCTGGTGAACGACGGTAGGATTTGCACGACGGGAGCACCGTATTTGTGACCCAGCGCCACGAAACACTCGTGCACGAAGTTTTCGAACAGCACCACGTCGAATGTGCTCCGGTCGTTACGCAGGAAATTCTGGACGGCCGGCTTATCCAGGGTCGAGTCCGTGTTGAACAACCCGAATCCCCACACGCCCAGGAAATCGGGAACTCGAGACTTGGCTACGTCTAGCATGTTGAAGTCTACGGACGAAAACGAAACAAAAAGTTTGAAAAACAACAACCAACAGACAAATGTATCGAGAAAAAAAGGCATCTCAACAGCATCGAAGTTTTCGGTGTCTTCCTCGATACACAAAAAAAATTTACTCAAACATTTCGGTCAAATGTTTTATCCCTCCACTCCCATAACCACCTCTCTCAGAACGACAATCCTCTGAATAAGCTCAAGTATGTACAATACAATATACTCACCGAACGGCGGTCTAGGTTCCACCTTGATGAAATTATGCGGCAACTCCGTTTCACCTATCGAGTACGGCGATACCAGCGTCAAGTTGTGTCCTTTGGCCACCAGTGCCCTTAATAGAGGTTTAAAGCCCATAAAGTGACTCTTGACTTCGGTTGGCAAAAACGCCAAAATGTTGTAACGGACCGCATTTGGTTGCTGCTGCTTTTGACGCTGTTGCAAACCAATCACCGTCGAGCATAACAAGGTTAGCCACAGAAACACCTTGAAACGTTACGAGAAAATACATCGGGTTATTATTAATTTATGCAACGTTCCGGTTTACATAATGTGTATTAAAAGTAATTACAACGGTAAAATTAAGTACCTACATGATTGATTAAATAACGCAGCTAAAGAAAAAATAATATTAAACTAAATAATAAGAGTACATATTGGCGTTTATCGTTAATCTCCTAAGTGGTTCATTAGTTAAATATAGATGGTGGTATAAGGTTTATAAAAAGGGGCAGTAGATCTGGCGAACCACTAAGTTATCTTATAGCATATTCGCGAAACGAGCTCAGTAAATTCAACTTTGCCGTTTAACAGACCTTCGATAAATCTAATACTCATGAGTGTTGAACGTGTTCAACGCTAATGTGTAACTATAGCAGTGTGTGGATCTCAAACAATACAATTATATTCAAGAATGAGACAGACAATAGTACAAAAAAATATCTAAACTGCAGACGCACTCACATTTAATTCATTAGCCATTCTAATAATAAAGCCTAATGATTTAAATGCCTTATGCTGTATAGTGCACATGAATATGATAAAATATAACCAATTTGGTGCTTAAGCTTAAGATTGGAGGTTATTAAATTTAAAAACAAGATGTAACACAGAATTATAGTTAGTCAATAAATTAATTAATCTTATAAATTACTATAGAGATGGATGATACTTTTTATTCGATATTTATAGAGATACTCTAGAGGTAGATTCCGAAATCATAAGTCATCGTTACGAGAATATTAGATTTTATAGGAATACAAATAAAAACAACGATATAATATTTGTATAATATTTATCCTCAAACAATTAAGAAAACGGATTTTATAATTATCAGTATGTAGTTACATAATATATAAACGCAGCATCATAAACAGCATTGTTAAATTTAAAAAAATAAAAATTATCGTCTAATAATAAATTATTCTGTTCAATTAGTATAGTTATTATGAGTAAATCGATGTTTGAATTTGATTGAGTGGGTATACTCATAACAATACAAATTACGTTAGATTATTATAATCATCGGGATATGTGTGTGTACCACGGCTACCACGGTTGTGTCTTTCACAAATAAACGCGGTATATGGGATTAATTAAATATAAATAGCATAAATCATCATTACTAAATACCGAATTTTCATGAAAATATGTAACACTTAAGAAGAGATAATGCAATTACAAACAAGATAAAAAGAGTAAACCGTATTAAATAATTTCCTTATCGATTTAAATGATTACCTACAACGACTAAATAATTTCCAATGTCTGTTACGTTTTAACAAATGATATCAATATTAAAATTATCGATTCCAATAAGTCTTGATTATTTTAATACTATGACTAAACATAATTTTATTTCTTTTATAGATAAATACACTCGTATTGCCAATTACACCAACTCATGTATAGATCATATTTTTACCAAAAATATCTCTAGTGATAATATTCAAGCATTTATTCCAAAATGTAAAATCACGGACCATTTTGGGACATTAATACTCTTTAAAATCTCTGTGAATAATAACAAATAATGGCATAAGATCATAATGTAACATTTTACATTATAAAGCAATAAATATAATTAATATACAGCAACTAAACACGTTTATCAGTGTACAAAATTGGAATGATATTATTGACAAATCTTTTCAACATTTCTTGGATAAAATGGAAGAATTTATTAATAAGTCTTCTTTTAATCAAGTAAATAAAATATCTAATAAATATAAAAAATTAAAGACTGGATTACTAAGAGACTAGTTATTTCTACAAAACATAATCATAAATTATCCAAGCAACTATATAAATATCCATTTGATACTAATCTAAAGCATAAATATAAAAAATATTCAAACACCGTAAATACCTTAATCAAAATTAGGAAAAAAATATGTTATTAAGATCTTCTACACAATTTCCAACGTAATCCTGAAAAAAAAATGCGGAAAACAATAAACCATATAGTAGGTAGAACAAATTCGTTTAAAGCGGAAATAAATAGTATTAGGCAAAATAACATAATCATTAACGATAATACCAATAATGCACATCAGTTTAATACTTTCTTTGCAAACGTGGGCAAAAACATTGAGAATAATACAATGAAAAAGGGCTATGATCTTGAGGATTAGAAAAATAAAAGTAATAATTGTCATGTAAATAATTCTATGTTTTTAACTCATATTACCCAAAAGGAAATCATATTGGTAAAATTAAAGATTATCTTCTTATTATGAAAAGGGTATCACTAATTACATCCTTAAAGTAGCAGTACATATTTCTCTCCCATTAATGTTGTTATTTAATTTTTCTTTGAGTAGTGGAATATACCCATCATGTTTTAAGAAATGTATTCTTATCCCCCTATTTAAATCAGGAGACAAATTAGATTACAGTAATTATAAGCCTATCTCAGTATATCTAAAATTTTTTAAAAAATTAATGGAAACTAGAATAATGAATTTCCTTAACTCCAACTCTTTTTTTTTTCTGAGAAAAAGCCTATTAATTATAAATTACTTCTTTAAAAATTAAATTTTGCAGTAATATGTGGGGAAAAAAATGATTTAATTAGATTTTACCTCACTGATAGGTTACAAATTGTCAAAATTAATGACACATTTAGTTCCCCTTTAAAAATAAACCATGGTTTTCCACAAGGGACCGTTCTAGAACCTATGATCTTTTTTATTATACACGTAAATGGTTTGCTAAATATTAATTTCGATTGAAAAATAATTTGTTTTGCAGATGATACTGTTGTTCTCATTCAAGAAAAAAGTATTTAAACGTTATAAAGCTAATAAAATTTTTAAAATTGTAAAAACATGGTTCAATAATAATTATTTAGAGCTTAACTTAATTAAAATTTAGCATATTATCTTTAATATTTAAAATATAAATCGTGACATAAAATTGGAAATTAAGCGTCCAAAATACTGCTCGTCTTAATAATATTTCGGCTAGTTGTTCTTGTGATTATATTGAAAGAGTTTATTCCATCAAATATCTAGGAATATATATATTAATTCCCAATTAAAATGGAACATACATATTGATTATATTATGAATTTAAGTCGTAAATTCATTTATGTTTTTAAAAATTTAAAACATATTCTCGATAATCATCAACTCAGAATTATTTATATTTCCTTAGTTCGATCATTAATTGTATTTGGTATTGAGATATGAAGGAGGGTGCCTATGATATCCATTTGAACAAATAAAAATCGGCTACAAATAAAATTGTGAAATTTATTTTAAAAGTTCCTGTTCTTACTTGCACTAAATTTATTTATAATGAATTAAAAGTCTTAGACTTTGATAAACTCCAAACTAAATGTACTTTTCTATTAAGTTTTAATCATAAAATGTATTTACCATCTTGTAACCGTAATTATAATACCAGATATAGGAATAATATAAATACGATTTATCCTAAATGCAAACAAACAATTTGGATATTAAAGATGATAAAGTTAAATCGTGCAATTTCACTATGCAGGCAAACGGAAATAAATATTAGTCAGTTCAATAACTATAAGCATTTTGCATATTCTATAATGAGGAAGATAAATTTAGTATGAACTTATCGAATCATAACGTGTTTATGATATAATATTATTTTAGTATTAACTATGTATTTATCGAAATTGTTTATGTATCTATTTTATGAACTCAACACCTTCAACTCAAACATTTTCGATTTGTTATATAGTTAAAGTATTTTAACTGTATGTTTATAAATGTATAATAATAATACTAATCGAAATCGATTGTATTGGTTGTTTGCGAAACAGTTTTAATAGAGACCTGCACAATTTGGCGGAATTAACGCACCAAGGACAGGCTTGTCTTACAACGGACAAAAGTAAAATTATAATTCTAAACCGCCCAATTCTCAATTGAATAATTTTTGCCATAAATACAATTTAATGCCCCCCGCCCTTTTTTTTTTTGCTATATTTAATATATAAATACTGCTACGGGTTTGCTACCGTTGTAGTAGGTAGGAAGTTAAGAAGGTACATATCTACTTACTGATTTAGTTATAAATTTATTATTTATTATATACTTGCATGCAACAGCAAGTCAGTGCAAACTAAAAACGATTCTGAACAATCTTGACCATAGTCAGGTGAGGACCAGCTAAGATATGATGGATTGACGTTATGGAAAGAGATCTTAAAAGTTTCAGTATGTATAAACAATATACCAGATACTTTTATAATGTAACAAGACGTATTGCAATACGAGATACTCGATAATTTCGTTTTATGTATTGAATTACTAGGTAGATACTGGATACGTTAAAATTAAAAAATGAACTAAATTTTAAAAGAGTGGTGTATGTTAAAAAACGCGGCGGATGTTAGTGTGAAACATTTTTTTCGAAATTCTCAACAATTACCCCCATTTCAGTACAATCGCTTTCAACTTGAAGAAAATATATTTTTCGGAAAAACAAGAGAGAAAATGACCCAGCTTACTCCTCTTCGAGTGCCTATTCGCAAGACACTTAATCGAGATAAGAGTATTTCGATACTCTAGACTAAATACGGATATTTATTTCAGTTTCGCAACAGGAAGTGCTCGATACTTTCCAGAACCCTATCGCGATACGGAACACAATTATTGTATCTAAGAAACGCATTAAAGATATTTACATCGGAGATACCATCGTCCGACGCCTGATAATAGTGACTACCGTGACGGTCGCAACACCTGCAACTATCTCGATAGTAACTATAACGGCGTGCGGACGCGAGGCTTGGAAATAAAAAAAACTCGCACAGCAGGTTTGAAGGCCGCCCAGTATTATTGTGTGCGTCCGATATTGTTTCTCGATAGTTATATAGCAATTACAATGTTATTAAATATTATTATTGTTTGTCGCTGGCGTTGCGTTTTGATTTATCGTCGAATCTTGCGCGGATACCGTTTCGGCCCCGCGCAAAGGCTCTACCGGCATATTGTTTATCGACAACCGTCGGTCCCTCGACCGCACCCTACGCCCCCCCCCCCACTTCAACCCGAAACAATATTATTTTCGTATTTTCGTTCGCCATTAATAATACGACGGCGGCGGTTGTTTGATTGGCACGCGCGCGTGAAACAATAGCGCCGGGGTCCTACCGTACAGGTACGCGGACGTGATTTACGACGACGCGCCTGCACGCCGACGGCGGGACGAGAGCGTCGGTCGAATTTTATTTGCGAAAAATCTCAAATCGTACCGGTACGCGGGCCGCTGTTACCGTCGCGTTATTGCGTTTTTCGCGGCCCGATGCGTTACGCGACACACGTGGTCCCCGGACCGATTAAACGCGTTTGGCCGGACGTTTCGGCGCCGCGGCGGGACAATGGTAAAACGCCGTTGTCCCCGCGGGCACAAAAGCCGGTACGCGGCATGACGATAACGAACCTTTGACCGGAAACGACAACGATAATAACAACGACGGCAATAATAAAAAAACAGTACGCGGAACGGACGCGAAACCCGCGCGCCGAGCGGGCCGGTACGACGCGCGGACGGATTTTCGATTGCGGAAACCCGGATTGATTATAAATCCCGGTCCGCACAATCGCGTCCGGATTAACAGGGCTCCTCGCCCCTCCTCGCCCCCCTCCGCCACCCGCCCCACCCGACCGTCCGTCCGGCTCACGAGACTCCGGGAGCTTCGGTTTTCGTCACAGTACAATAGGTTCATGTCCGTCGCGGTATCTATACGCGTTTAGTCGGTAAACTTTGTACCGTTTCGGTATTTCAACGTTTTTAACAACTTGGTAGCGCTTGGCCGTCTTTAGCGAAACTTTTTCCTATATCGGTGCGTTATGCATTATTAAAACGTAATGTTACGGGGCAACTATCCTTCACTATATTTTTATTTTTTTTTTGTTCTTTTAAGAACCTCGTTGAAAAGTTTTACCCCGGGACCTCGGCATTTCTCAATCCGGGCTTAAGCGCGACGACACGTAAAATATACAATCGAGAAAGCCGGATTTGCAATTATCGCGTCTATTAAATTTTTTTTTTTTTTTTTTCTAACCCAACAAACGATTTTCGTTTTTCGCCATTTTATAAATACACATCGGTATCAAACTGCTGTTGCAAACAGATTATTTTCTGCATAAGCATTAACTAGGGAGCGAGAAGAGCTAAACGTCCGTCTGTTCAAATTAAACGGGGCAGTGTCCTCTTTGACGTGTCCACAGTTACCTACGGCAAGAGATCTCGCCGCGGTCCGACGAAAATCGAAATACACTGAAACCCGATAAGCGTGCTCTGAAATAACACAGAATGTATCGGGCATTGCTACACGCCAACGATGGTAACAAATACACCAACCGGCCGGAAACGTTTTTCGTAACTAGGTAACTACCCGATCGGATGTCGCTTCTATACTGTTCGATGATAATACGGTCGTACTTTACGATGAACCCATAGAGTAACTCTATGAGCTGAACCGAATTCGAAGTTTATACAATATTGGCCATTTCACGTATTGAAAAAACTTGTAAAATTAATTTCAACACAATTGTCAATTAGTTTAATACGGACTCAACATAAAGAGAAAGAAGACTTAAATTTACATTAATATTGAATTTTGATTTTAATAATTGACTAGTTGACCAGTATACATTTTAGATTCTGAATGTAACGAAGAATGTATTGGTTTTAGAAAGATGTTTAATTATTATTTTTTTTTTTTTTTTTATGTTAACATTTTTTCTACCAGAAATCTTACACCAATGAATACGATGTAGACACTTTACTGAAAGGAAATTTTCTTGGGATGGTACTTTAAGAAGGTCAATTTTCGATTTTCTCAGGAGTTTTCTCATCAAATGTGAAAAACCAAAAGGAAACGAAGAAAAAGCGAGAAAATGTACGAAATATATTTGTAACATAATACGATTTTCTTTTCTGTGGACAAGTTCTACCAGCAATTTCGCTACGATTTACAATGGTAGCACTTTTTCTAAAAGGAAATCTCATTGAGAAGGTACTTTAGGGAAGTCATTTTTCGATTATCCCAAGATTTTTCCCAGCAAATGTGAAAACCAAGGAAAAACGTAGAAAAAATAATGCCATTTTTCGATTTTCCCGAGATTTTTCCAAGCAAATGTGAAAAACCTAGAAAAAAACATGAGAACACAGGAAAAACGGTACAATATTAAACAAATATTATTAAAGAAAATTTATAATGTCTATATTTAATTATATATATAATTATATTTTATTATATATATATTTATATAATTATAATATTTATTTATATATTGTTGACAAAGCATCACTATTAACTGAACTCCGCTCGGGATTGTTTTTTCGTTAGCAACGGTTTATCTGTGCCTACAGAAATACATTGAATTCCCTCCTGTGTGCTGCACCCGTCCCCATTATCCCAGGACAGCTTTTTAATATTTTTATTAATATAATCAAACTATTTAAAGGTTAAAGGTATACTTTAGGCACCCTGACTTGAGGTAAACTTTGCTCTCTCATACAAATTGTCCGAGTTACGCCCACGGTTATGTAACTCGTATTTATCCGTATTTCGAACCATAGGAACCGGGTTTATCGTAATAATATATTGACGCGCAGCATGTGGGATTCGCACGATTACAATACGTTTTTATCCGGAACGAGCCCGCGTTTTCAAAACGCTCGCAAATAACGCAAATGACGTGTTTTAAAAAGTAAGTGGGTTTTTTCTCATCTGAAATCTGTATGTCTCGGTTATGAAAAACGTAATAATAACACATACTTACGGGATAACAGAGAAATGCGCATAGGTGTTTATCGTATTATTAAATATTTAAACCCATGAAACGGCCGCGCACAAACATATAATATAAAATCGTAAAATTCAGGAATTTATTTTTGTCTGTCGCGTAAATGAAGTCGATATTAATAGTGTACCCTGCACTATATTGCCTATTGTACAATCGATTAATTTCACACAATTTTGTAATCGTATTGTAACGTGCGAGTTGTACGAAAACTGGACACGATATAGAGACGAACGGTTTTTCAGATTTGAATGATTCGCCGACATCGATCGAAGTAGAAGACGAAGTATCAAAACGACAAAAACAAATATTTCGCAGAATTGCGTATTATCACTGTACGTTTGTGTTTATTTTCAATTATATAACCCGACCTTCGGAATTAAACGGTATTTTTTTATTTTTTTTTTTTTTTGTTTCCTCGTTCCGCGCACGTATGCTAGCTAATCGAAAAAACTATTGTTAATAACCTGCGGTAACGTTCGGTGGCGGCCGTTGTGCGGTGTTTGTGCTACTGAACTACCGCGCTGTTTGGATTTTTACCGATATTGTGAATTTGTCGACAAATCGCCGTTGTTTGCGTGTACGCGGCGCGAAAATGACGATAAAAAATAATAATAACAATGACAGTGGAAAAAAATGCTGAACATAATATTTTGTCGGAAAAAAAAATAATATCCGGTTTCTTGACGCCGCCGCGGCGGACGTTGAAATTCGATAATATCACGGCACGATGCTTGCAATAGATAATAATTACCTATTAAGAAGTGGTGGTAAGGGAAAAAAACATAATAAACTAACGTCGTAATGTTTCACCATAAGAATAATTATCGGTCACCGTAAATATACTCACGGAAACCTTCATGGTCGACACGTTGTCGTTGCGCCGCCCGGTGTATTCGTGTTTTTCGTTTTCTGTAAACGGATCGGCCGTGCACCGTCGAAGATTATTGTGTTGCGCGACGTCTTGTCCCCGGACCGGCACTGAACTACGAGACCGACGGACGATTGCGGACCGCTGCCACGTTTTTTTATTTTTGTTTTTTTTAACCGAGTTGTTAGTCTCGGTTGCGCAATATTATACTAGACGAGACACGACGCGTATACCATGCGCGCGCGTACGATGCGCGCGCGTTTACACACATGCCGTATGAATCGTATCTATCATGATGTGGTTATACTGTTTCTATTGTGTACCTATTACATTGCTCTAATGATATTATCAAAAACGAAAAAAAAAAAGAACGTCTACGCGCGCGAAACGTCGGATCTCCGCGTACGGGAATCTGTTCGGCCGCCCGCGTCTGTACCGAAAAAAACGTCACGTCCTTATATCGTTACCATATCGAAATTCAAACTTTAAGCGGTTTAAAAGCCCTGTACAAATTACCCTTAATTGTAACACTGTATATGTGCTTAACTGACGAGTATCATTAATTTTCGACGATTTTTCAATAGCCGAAACAATTTCCTTTACGTGGAACCAAAACAACCTCGACAATTTCAAATGCCTGTAAATACCGAAAAAAAAAAAATGGTTTTTACCGCATCTAATTTTAATATTCAGTGGAAGGTTTCAGGTCTCTACGGTTTTCGGAAACTGAATTCTCGAACAAAAACAAACAAAATAGAAAATAACAGAAACCGGCATTGTATACAAATAACCGTTTTTTCCGCAATTATTAAAAAAACTATAAGGAATATCAAAACAATGACTGTCCTAATGCACCGATTAGACAATATTTTTTTCCGTTAGAAACCGCTTCTGACTTTTAATATTGATGATCAGAGTAATTTTTCGATCAACACATTTTTCAGAATCTAAAAAAAACAAAACGTTCGTAAAGTTATTTTCGACCCGAGTATTTTTTGGTGATACGTCGCGTATAGTCAATACTATTATGTTGCAGGTTGGCTCGAACGAAATCCAAAGATAATATACTGACAGATTTGTGCGGTGCGTATTATAGTTTACGACCCGAAGTCCCCAACGGACTACTTTGGATCGTACGGTTGAATACGGTTCCGCTGATCAAGAAAAAAACCTCCATTGTACTCTTTTCGAGGAAAACGGGGAAGTTGTTTACTTTTTTTTATGTCCTGTTGCTTATTTGTACAATTTGTTCGACTTTTATTCGGCATTTTCGACCCGGTTCATTGTCCAGAGTAAATACAGAAAATAACCACCACCATCGAATAACGGCCAAAGAAAATGTTTTAAACTTTCGTACCTATAGTATGATTCGTGGAAATCGTTATCGAAAATCTAAAAATACGAGCAGGCAAAACATAGACAGTGACATAATATAAATCTGTACTGTACGTAACACATGGTTCTGGACCAAACGATGCACTACGATCGACCCCGCGGTTAACGTGCTCGTTTGACCTTTGCGGTCCGATTATCCATAACTCGATCAATGCGTAAAGAATATTGTTATATTGTTGTAAACAACAGTTTACTCGTGTATATAAAATACACGAAACATTACAATGTATACACAGTGTACATAAAGCGGTTCCTTACCTTACACTGTCTTGACCTTGCGTAAATATTTTTTTTTTCTCGGATTTTCCCCGAAATATTGGATTTGGAAAATGTGTCATACTATAAAGATATGTGTACTCGAAGTCAAAAAAAAAAAAAAAAAATTACGTTTTAAATTTATTTATTTTCTTTAGTACCTAATGTATTATTCAATATGCCGTACAATTATAATTAAAAACACATAACTTTACTACATAGGTATGACCGGTATCAGCAATATTATTATTAACCTACTATAATTAAACCTCCTTCGTACTGTAGTGGTTCAGACAGGTTTCGTTTTAAACAAGAAAATACACATTGTGTTCGGATTTTTTCAAACCCACTACTCAATTTACCAACACATTTTTGATAATTCTAACTAAACGTCAACGAATTTCGATATAATTTAATATTTATTTATACAGGCTATGCCCTTTGAACAAATGCATTTATAAATACAGAAACATACAGAACGAATAACATACTGACAAATAATAAAAAAAAAATTATATTTATGAGAAGTATACTTTAAGTATTAAAATAATAGGGTCCATGGTTAGTTTAGGTAATCATCGTCTAACAGGCTCATTTTTCAAATAATTGGTAATGCTAAGAGGAGCGTAAAAAGGTGATTTGGAACGAGTGACGTACTGAGGAACTTTGAAACCGATTAGAGAAAGTAAAGTTGGAGAATCCACTTTATCAGACAATAATTTGATATAGTATAAATAACAAAATAATAAATACTAAAAAAAAGATCAAGGGAGGGAGATGTATCACCTTAATCTCCCCGACGTAAATACGTCTGCTACGTATATGTACATTTTTTTTTCCGACTAGACACTTTTAGCGGCTCCCTATGGGCTGAATGAGCTCGAACTCGTAAATTAGAGTTGTTTTATAGGCGAACTGGAACGATAAAATATTGGTTGAATTTCAGTATGAATTTCACCGTGTTACCAAATGAAGGTGTTTTTTAACTTTGTATATCCTTCCAGTTCACAATTCACCGAGGGCGATAAGGCGTTGAACCTTATCGCCGGGAAAAAATCACAGGCCCCGCATTACTAGGTGATTTTTATGGACACCCCTCAAGCCTGTCGAGCCGTTTATTTCCGGTCGTGTATATCTTAATCCTTATCTTTATTTTGGAGTTAACTATTACATACCCGATGAACAAAAACAACCGGTAAATATATCAAAGTATTTGTGAACCAAATAGACAAAAATTTAAATATTTTCTTTACAAGTTTATTAACGTAATTTAAAACTAATTGTTAAATTTACTCAATTTTATTTGGATACTTTTTAAAAGTTATTTCATGAATTATTTTGTACATTTACAAGTATTATTTTAGTATTCATAAAACATAAAATATTTAATTAATAAATTAGTTTCTAGGCTGAATTTGTACAGATTCATACAAACATGATGTTACGTAAAATAAATTTTGTTTAAATATAATGGCAAATTATAATTTTACACGAAATTGTGTATTTTTGCGAGATGGCAAAAGTACAGCCGCGAGACGGCATCTAATATTAATTACCGGCCGCATTGTCGTTTTGTGATATTTTCTCCGTACAATAGGTTTTCATAAATACCGACTACAGCCGATAGCGGATTTGAATTCTTCAGATAAAATAATAATAATTTCATATTCTGTAACTTTTGTATATGTATAAATCCATGCGCTTGGTTTTCAGTCACGACGGCGTGGACCCGTGGAGTATTAACCCGGGATAATTGCCATCCCGACAGAAACTTACTCTGGAGACCGTTCATGGGTTGCGTTCGAAACAAATTTTAATCTCATCCAAGATCCTATCAAGATTCCTAAAAGCGGAATGGCCCGCCGGTCAGTCGGGCTAATGTGCTTATGAGTGGCCCGAAGCGTTTAAAATTAAATGCTATTTTTTGTTACTTAGGAAAAAATAATTGTTTGAAACATTTTTACAGGATAAATAACTCAGATATGGATTTATATTTATTGATAGCGGAACCATAATAAATTTACAGAATTTCATTAGAAGACATTCTGATGGGTAACTACTGGTAACTTATTGTCATTAAATCTAATTAGGTTAGGTTGACGTTATTGCAATATTTTCTATTTTTAAAAGTCTTTCTTCGGCAATTATATGCAATATTAAAAAACTAGGTATTTACTATTTCGTGATATTATTATTTTAGTCGGATACTTCGATTTGTTTAACTTTATAATGCCGAAAACGGCGAGTGACGAAGAAAACCCAAGTGACACACGAACTGCGGTTCAGTATAGGCATTTTTAGATTCTAAGCGTATAGCAAGACATGTATTGGGTTTCTATAATGTGTGTGGTTTCTTTTTTTAAATCTGCATGTATATTGTTTTTCTATCTGTAAACCACTACACAATATGAACCCGGAAATTACCATAAATCATACCCCGAACTTTTTTTTGTTAATTTATGGGTTACCTTAGCGGTATGAAAACTATACAACTGTCAATAAAGAATCAAAAATTGATAAGAATCTAAGCGGAATGAACACATTTATTTTCCTAGTGAAAATTTTAGAATCGTTCCACCATTAAATATTTCTGATAGAAAAGTTGTTGATATAAACAATAAATCAAAGAAAGAAAAAATCGCACACATCATAGTGAAACCAATACATTTCTTGATTCACCCAGAAACTAAAATATTGAAATTCACGGTATACGCGAGAATTTATAACGAGCACTGTGATAAATTCGTACACTGTGCCATGTAATGTAACGTTATGAATTTTAAAGACCAAGTAAGTGGAAAAAAAATAAACAAACGCGTGTAAACAACTCGAAAGTTTCATAACGACCGCGTGATTTTTATTTCAAACGTAGAAAATGCGCTCGACACGGTTCCCATATTATATTATAGCTTCCATTTTAGCTTGTTAAAAATATTCGGTCGAAGTGACAATAATAAAATGATAACAATAAACTAAAACTGCATCTATTCTTATTTGTATTCATGGTAGATTTTTTTTTTTTTATTAATTGTTTAAAAACAACCGTTTCGGTGACTTTTTAAACCGTTTTATTTTGTTCTCCTCGTTTCCGTAACTTATAATGTTGTAATGCTTATATTAAAACAGATTTTCTCTGTTGTTATTTTTGATAAATCACCGAAGAATTTATTATCAGTTTTTTAATTCAATGATATCACGTAGTGTTCGATTTTATAAAAAAAAAAAAATATTGCGAAATCAGCGAAGGCGTAAAAAAAAGATTAAGTATACCTTCGAAAAACTCGCATAAACATCTGAACAGGTCTCGTTGTAACGCACAATCGTCATTGAACTTGCCATAGTCTAACAATAATTATTTGCCAAAAATAAATAATATACACAATTCCCCGCGGGTAATGATATTAAGGTATATAATAACGAATGAAGTTCTTAAAGCAGATTTTCGAAAGAAGAATATTATTGATATTGTGCATTGGTGTGCAGGGGAATCAAAGACTTGATGTAGTGTAAATGAAATAAAACAAATTTGAACTTTAAATACTTATAAAAATAATAAAAAATACATTCGTTATGAGTGGATCGCACTTAAGATTCTTTTGACGGCAGTTGCACACGAATAACGTAGTTTTTTGAAACTTTATCTCATTAAAATATATATCTAAGGTCTTATGGGTGATTATTATCGTTTGAAAAATCTATCTATTGAAAATTATATTGCGGATCTCGATTGGATAACTTTGGCGGATGAATTTGCAGAGATCAAAGCACGAAACGTTCCATTAAAATTATAAAAAAAACCCATAAAATGATGTGATCTGTTGTATTATATATAGTTTTTTATAATTATTATTATTATTATTATAAAAATGACTTAATTTTACATTTATTTGAGCAGTACAAATAATTTTAAAAATTGATTTCTTACTCTCAGTCATAAATGATTAACTTTAACGAGAGAGGTACATTAGTTTTCCTTGTCCAGGGTGCTGATTTTCCAAACACCGGCCCTGGATATGCCATTTTTTTAGGATTTAGAATCTAAATCAATCAGGAATTCCTGAAGGAAAACAAGTGGATAGAGGTACCTATAGTCAACAGTCAACACACTACTCTTCAAGTTTTAAATTAATGTAATATTATTATTTATAATTTTTTTTTAAAAAATTGTTGGCTCTTTTGAGTTATTTGAATAGCAATTTTTAATTTTCAAGTTTTTCGATTTATGTGAATACATTTTAATTTGAAGGTTAATTAGTATTGTTCTTATAACTAAAAGAAAAAAAGTTTAGCGTGATATCATTTTTTTTTTTTTTTTTTTATTAATATTTCTTTAGTGCAAATTTGCTTAAAATTATAATCCCCATAACCCATTTACCCACTGTCACCACGTATACTCTACCACTAATGTCTATCCATGCCTATACTTAAGACATCCACGTGCAAGTTGGGAAGACCAGATAAGAAATGATGTAAAACAAAGAGAGTCCATAGAAGAACTAGCTTTGGATACGAAAACCGATGATGTGAAAAATATTCATCAGCGCGGTCTTCAAGGCCGTAAAGAAGATGGTGATAAAGAAAATGTATGTTCTTGAGCGAATTACACAAATTTGTTTGTATTAACAAAGTTTGTCTTAATACACGTTTACCCTTTTTTTTTTATGTCATATCGATTCGCTCTCTAGTAGTAATAACGGAGTATACGCACGAGCGTTTTTGAAAAACAAGGAAGATATTATTATTATTATTATTATTAAATCGTCAAGAACTATTATAAAAATATACTTTTTACGCGTGTTTCGTTAGAATAAAATGTCAAAATAAAAAAAAAAAATAACCACAAAAATCGTGTTTACGAACGATACTTACCAACACAGGTTAGGTATTCGCGGTAGTGAATACTAATAAGAAAAGAAAAATGAAAAATACGCGTACATTTCCACACGTGAGTTATTAATATCAGATATACAAGTGAAAAACTCGACAAGCGTTATAGCCCTGCGATAGTGATGGTGGTGGTGTTGTTGCAGGATATTGTCGCAGGAAAACTGCCTGAATTCGGGCGTTTGTTGCACTCCGAGTGCGTAGGTACTTAAACACGCGATGTAATAATAATAATATAGCAGCCGAGAGAGTTTATTATTAGTTTCCTGAAGGCCGTACCCATACAGTATACAGTGCGATTCGTTTAAAACACGAACCAGCGATCGTCTATCCAGAGATTTCGAGTGAATTTGATTTTTTTTTTTTTCGGCCATTATAATGAAATAATAATAATATTATCACAGAATCGTTTAATTATCTTGTATTTACAAAAGTGCTGAACCGGTTCCGGTTCGCATATCTATTATAATCATTTCGCACATGAAATAAAACCCGGTCGCTTGTTATGTTTCGTTCTTTTGCCTTTTCGTCCTGTTTCATCATTTTCGAGATATCTCAGTGGTCTATGTCTATTTAATCAATACGTTTGGGTGGTTTGATTCCGTGGATCTCAGTAGAGTGGAATTGAGCGAGTACCTAAACCGCATCCCAGTAATTTATATATATTACTAATATTACCATATTTCGTAATACAATTGTTGATAGGAAAACGATAATTAAAATGTCCTAGAATAAGTATTTAATGTTGTAATCTTATCACCTGTTTACGAAAAAACGAGTACTCATTTTTCCGATCTTTTTCTATTCCAACTATCTTTTTGAAAATTTGCACTAATTAATGGTCATAAAATGAAGTTTTAATAGTTTTAAGTGGTTGCACCATCTAGTTTAACATTATGCATTTATGTATTTTCGGTGATCAAATTATACATTTAACCCGAGGTGCATAATGATTAATGGGTTATGAGCGTTATTTTTTTACTAAAAAAAAAAAAACCCCCGAAAATATACCTATCTCAAATATTATGATTACTAGACATATTTTAATAATTTCTTTGAATTGTTTATTTAAATTAGTTAACAAACAACTATCAAAATAATGATCTAAAAACTAACAAAAATTTGATTTTTAAATTATAAGTAATTTTTTGCTTCCACAGATATACATTAAATTTCAAATTCACCATGCTAAGTATTTTTATTTTATTTTAGATTCTATGTTCTTTACTTACATTTTCTGGTTATTGTTTTCTGTGATTATTTATGTACTATTATGTATTTTTTTATCAAACTATGGCGAGTCTTTGTAATTGGATTAATTCCATGTATGTATGCATATATATTGCATGTGTAAAAATATAAATTATAACCAAAATCCACTATGAATTATTTTTCGTTAGCAATGATTAATCAATCATTGTGTACAGATATACATTAAATCTCTCCCTATATCCTTGAAAAAATACAATTAATAATAAGATAGTTAATAGTTTGATAAGGGATAACACTGATATGAAATAGTTATTTTTCAGTTAATTCATTATGATGTTATATTTATTGGATAATTTGCAAACTTCAAGTATTAGTAAAAACATTTTTTTTTCAAACGTTAGATATGCTGGATTTTTGGAATTTTCAGATTCTTATCTCGTGGTGAAGAACGGATCTGTGCCCATACATTTCACTATTTCACAAAATTCGTTCAAAATATATCGCTCTAGGGTTCATTTGAAAATTGGAATAAAGTATAGTAGGTATAGTTCTTATATTATTATAAAGTAAAAACCCAAAACCTAAAGAATTTTGCTCGAATTGTAATTTGATTATAAAATACATTAAAATCTGGGCTAATTTTTACTAGTTAAATCGTATAAAAGGACGCTGAAAAAATTACATACACAATATAAAATACGAAACAAAAATGCGAATAGATACATGAATCGAAAAACAGTCTACTGTCTCTTCTTTTTTTTAATCGCCGACTTGTTCATCGCGGTCGATTTGACTGCAGTAGCACGACACAATTTCTTCAGCAAATACAAAACGAATTTACAGTTCAAATACACGACGAAACCGATTGCGACCGACAGGGCGGCGATCACGTCCAAAAGATAATATTGAAACCAGTAGAGGTCGGTGGCGGCTGTGCGTAAGTGCGGCGCTCCTTCGTGCCGGAGGACGTACTCGATCCAAAAAACGGCGCGGTCCAAAATCGATATAGGATTGTCTTTCATTATAGACGAAGCTTTCCGAGCTGCTTCGCCGAACCTGTGAATCACTGGACGATCAATACAAGCTGAACCGGACTATAGCGCGTATATAAGCATGTAGAGAAAATATCTGTGTGTTTTAGGTGACGATAATAAATTCCCCTCCCCTATACACAGAGAATAAAGAAACCCCGGTATGCAGTAAAATGAGAGACATTAGTTTCAACCGAGTAAAATAAAGTTTCGATTTCCGTTTTCACCAAATTTATATATTTTTTCTTTTTACCTAAATATACTTTGATATATGCGTACATTTAGAATTATCCAGGGGAAACAATTCTCATTGCACCCAAACAATTTTTTTTTTCTGTATCTATAGATATTTTTATTTATTCTATTTCGTCATATAATACATACGTCATTTATATTTGTTCCAGATTGATAATTTGAACTCTCATTATTATTGTTATTGGCAATTTAAAAAAAAAACCAAATTTTAATTTGTTATAAAAATAAAGTTTGTTTCTTGGTCTTAATAAATAAATTTGGATATTGATTTTGAACGTAAGTATATTCTTTAGTAAATAAATGCCATTCGTATATGACGAAAATGACTAGACTAAATAGAACAATATTAAAGCGCAAGCTTCATGGACCATAGCCTATGGGCTCACACCAAAAATGCAAATGAGAAAAAAAAAACAAAAAGTTCAATTGATATTAAAATATGCCCCTGTATTAGCTGTGCCCGGCTAATATATCCTAAATCTAGATTATAACGATATAAGAGGTAAAAATAACATCAATTTTTCATTCATATTGTATTACGCATCGTTGAAATATGAAAGGTAGGTATTCGGCCATATAGGTATAGGATGTCATTCGAATGGTTCTAATTTCTCCATCTAAAAATTAGTGTACGGAATATTTATAATACAATGAAACCTTGATAACTTGTACCTCTTTAACTCGAAGAAATGCATTTCAATACACGATATGTAAGGTAAATTTGATCGATAAGTTGAAGTCATTTGAATTGAATTTTGGCTCAAAACTCGAATTATTCGACATACATTACCGAAAGTTATTGAAATAATAAATGGATTTATACAAATGTACGAAAGATTAATCTATAACGATAACGTATATAATATGTACGTTCATAAATAACGGTAATCGTAATCGAAAATCAATCAATTTTATCAATATGTACATAATATTGCTTAAAAGACACGGTTATAAATTCGATAACTATGTACGATATAACCTAAGATATTAAAGTTTATTTTTGTACATTATCGGTAAATGTATACGTTATAAAATGGAGTCTGTGTTGTATAAACAAATATTTTCGATAACTCGAATTTTTTTTTTTGTCCCGGACTGATTCGAGTTATCGAAGTTCCACTGTATTTACATTTAACACGTCTTATGGCGTAATAATATTACCTCGCATCTCCCAAAATTTGTTGAAGTTTTCTGTCAAACTCCTCAGCCGTAAGCTTGAAGTATGGCACGTACAGCGCGAATCCTCTGTGCGCAGCTTCCACCGAGTTGTGCGTTTGATCACCGAATACCGGTATCGACAACATCGGTACACCGTGATAGACGGACTCGATCACACTGTGAATGCCCCCGTGCGTAATAAACAGTCGACAGTTCGGATGATCTAAATAAAAATTAAATACAATCATCTCTCTTGATCGACGTAGCATGGCTCCACCGTATACTTAGTATATCGTTTTGAGGGAACCACTTTCGGACAATGACGTTTTTCGGCAAGTCCGGCAACTGATCGTCTTCCCACTTCCACAGAACCGTCTGCTTGATATTGGCAAGCTTCGACAACAGAAGCTTGACCGTTTCACGTGGCATTTCCGACGACTTGATGACCGATCCCAAACTGAAATAAACCACCCCGTGCACAGCCGTATCCATAACACGTTTGATATCCTGAAAAACAAACACGATTGATATAATATTAAATCGACTGATAGTTGAATCGAGATTTTCCGTCACCGTTACCTCAGGTAAAGATTTTGCCGGTTTTATGTGCATGCCGGCTACTTGTACGTAGCTAGGAACGAACGGTGCCACCGGGCTCATGAGTGGATGACTGTTTATCAACGTCAAAGACACGTTCCTAAGCATTGTTTCCAGGTCGGGTCTTTGCTCGTGTCCGGCGTACGCGAAGTACTCGTTCATTATTTTCCGTTGCTGGGGTAAGTACACCAGCCTGTTGACCAGCGTATTGAACAAGGCTGCCACAGTATTCTCGGTCCGTTGCCAGAACGTCATGGGTGCCGCGTAGGGGGCCGTGATGTCGGCCAAATACGAGGGATCGTAAGGATTACCATGCCACTGTGACACTCGTGGATTGGTGTTGAACGGCAAAAGTTGCACCACGGGAGCCCCGTACTTGTGGCCCAGAACGACGAAGCACTCGTGGAAGAAGTTCTCGACGATGACTAAATCGAACGAAGAACGATCGTGTAGGATGAATTCCTTAACCACACGTTTTTCCAACGCCTTTCTCGTGATGAACGGACCCAACCAAAGGATATACAGGTACGGCGGAAGTATATTGGTTAAGCTGTTTTTGTTTAAGTGTTTCACGCCTGTTAAGAAAAAAATATTTTATTTAATGTTTACAACAATGGATCAGTATTATTGTTCAGACATTTTAGGCTGTATCTCATGACAAATGGTTATGAAATCATAGAATATATTAAAATACACAGAGTGTACATAATTTTTTTTGTAACAGCAATTTTTTCCTATAAATATGCAAAATAGAAAATAATATATAATGAAACATTTTAATTAGATACTTAGTGTAATATACCTACATACAAACCTGTATTCAAAATGCTATAGATAGATGAAGTATCTATTTTTTCAAATAAATATCGGTGTTGAAATTTTTGATTTCCGTCAACCCGTCGATCAAATATTCTAATTTTTAGTAATGCCAGTGGGAGAGTAGTGGAACACTATGCGCTTGTGTGGTTTTAATAGTGTCCCACTACTCTCTAGGTAACCATTCGAATTTCAAAAGTTGACCCATAAATCCCTCCCAAAAAAGCGTCTATAAATTTAAAGTCCGCATATAATTTTATGTTACACATCATTCTCTATTTTATATGTTTTACTCATTTTATTTGAACATACCTACTAAAACGTATACTGTATACGTATATTCTGGCGTATTAAAATTGTCTTTTTTCATTAAACCCTTTATCAAATTTGATTACTTTCCAAGTAGTATGACACTATTAATAAAAAAAAATAAACAGGACTGTCTTGTCTTATCCATCCGCCAACTAAATTTAGACGGAGCCTTGGCTCCTCAAAAATATTGTCAATATGCCACTGATTTTCGCACCGTTCGAATCGTTTATTTCTGAACCCCCCCCCAAACGTCAAAAAACAAACTCGACTATTTTGCGTTTAATTGATAATTTGGAAGTAAATATGAAATTTATAACGGGAATCCCACCAAAACTATATATGTTTTTAAAATTGGTTATCTCAATTATCTCTACTAAGGAGTTTCTAAAATAACCTATTCATTTGATATTCCCTATTCGAGAAAAAATTATAATACAAAACCGTATCAATAGAGATAAACCTTTGTTCAATTATTTGTATTGTTGTTAAATTTTTAATAAGAACCTGTTGGATTGTTAATGGTCTCCACTCGGACGTGTTTGTAGGATAATATTGACCCGTCTTCTCCCGTGGAATCCAACGGATAAGGTGAGACCAACGTCAAGTCGTGTCCTCTGGCTACCAACGCCTGGAGGAGCTGTTTGAAGCCATTAAAATGGCTCCTAGTCTCAGTGGGTAGAAAAGCCAAAATTTTGGACGGCTTTGCGTCCGGTAATTCGTAGCAGTAACTGCAGGCCAGGAACAACACCTCAACGACAAATATAAACAAATATGACAATTAATCGTAAATCCTACTAGTAAATGTATAAGTAGGTATTTTTTAAGGGTGGTCGATATGACTTTTTTCCGATATCCGATAATCAAATATATGCTACCGATGTAAAACCGATAACCGATACGACATTTTTTCGAAACCATGAGCCGATATTCAAATTATCCGATATTTCAAAAAAAAAATCCGTACCCGATTTTTTTTATCGATATAGTTTAAATATATATATATTACACTATATACAACATTGTTATTATGTAGAGTAATATACCTACACACCAATCTATATTAAAAATTCTGTAAATAGATAAAGTATTAGCAAGGTTTTCCACTTTTAAATTTAGGTAGGAAGAGAGTAATGGAGTAATTTGTGTGGCGGCTAGGCGGGAGATGTTTTAATAATGCACCACTACTCTCTCCCGACAACAATGTAAAATCGGAATATTTCATCAACGGTTTGATAGAAATCAAAAATGTCAACACCAACATTTGTTTTAACTAATATTCCATCTAGTTACAGTATTTTTATCATAGGTTGGTAAATGGGTGTAATTCGCTGTCTAATAAAAATGTTCCATAGTGACAAAAAATAATGTAAATGTTAAATTTTAGAGCAACTTGTTTCTTGAATTTTCAAAAATAAAAAAAAAATAAAATGTTCAAAAAAGTAAACACTCTGAAATATCGAGCGTAAATAGTTTTACCCTGTGTATACAAGAGAAAAATCGTTACGGACGGACGGATCGACCTTTCATAGTACGTCATAATGGTCTACACTATTGATAGTAAACATTGACCCAGTGTTAAGTATACGCGACAAATGTTAATACGCAAATATCTGTCCGTGAAAAGATATGTTTCGAATTTAAGATGTTCCGGTTCGAGTTTGACGGTGTAAATTTAAGGTAATAATATTTTCTCAACTCACGGCCAATAGCAAACGAACGTCCATTCCGGTCGTACACTGTGTAGTAACACTCCTCGCAAGTGCAATACGATCTAATAGGACCGCGTGAAAAGCGCGAGATGTACGCCCACGGTTATTCGCCGTTTGTCGCGCACGGAGGACGACGCGAGTGCTTCAACGCCGGTCAACGACGCGCCACTGTCCCACGCCCAGCACGAGATCGAACGAAACATCACGCGGAACCGGTACAACGAGACGCGGGATCGAGTGGCCGTTCGGATTCCCCTGCTCCGGCGGACAAACAGCGGCGTGATGTGATTAAATCATTACGTAACATGATAATTCGGAACGGCGCAATTATAAATACGATTACGACCAGCTAAAAGAATAGAAAAAAAAACAACGCGTTCTCGTCGAAAATAAATGGGAATAAAAAAAAAAACCAACCTAATAACATCGAATATTATCGGTCTCTAAACTCTCGTCGTTTACAGCGCGTAATTTACTATTATCCGTACCGTACGTAACCGCCTTTAACCGGGTACCGAATGGCCGCATGCGGTGAACCCGTAGTGCCGTTCGATCGCGTACGCGTTTATGATTCGCCCGCGATTTTCTGTAACCAACGACCGTCGTTATTACGGCTAACCTTTTATTTTCCCGCTCGGCGTTATTAGTTTTACCCGATGGGTACGCGGCGCGTTATAATTTCAACATTAAAATATGGGTTTTAGTTCCCGATAAAAGCGATGTCGAACCGCCGAAATATCCATCGCAATAATGTTGTTACCAATGTCATTGCGGCCGAATGGCTACTGAATATTGTTATCGGAGAGGTCGGGCAGCCGTTTTATCGGTTTTAGAATCGATTTATGTTGAAGCGGCGATTGGAACCCGGTATCGACGAACCAGTCAATATCTTTTATACATTTGCGATTGAAATAACACAATTATAATACAACGTATCGGAAGACATTATTAACATTTTTCATTTTTTTTTTTTGACAATTAAAGAAACAATCAGTTTCTTCAATTCTGAAATTGCCCAACATTGCCATTTTGTTCAACCTAATTTTTGGATGTGAAACGACTAACCTACTTTCGATTTTAAAATGGCATCCTACGTAATAAAAATTCCATAAATAGATGGGGTATGGATTTGAGGTTTGAATACATTTCGGTGTTGAGATTTTCGAGTTCCGTCAACTCGTTGACGAAATATTCCATTTTTAAATATGGATGGGGAGAGAGTAGTGGACAAATTATTTACGTGGCGCTTTGATTATAAAAAAAAAATAAATAATACTTTCCGAGATAATGTGTGCGTTCGATTTAATAATCACCCGCTATTCTAATTGAATTATATTCTATTAGAATAGCGTTGTTAAAAAATATCTACTCTAGTACGTATCCAATATTCCATTACATGATTCTACAATCGTTCATAATGTCCGATTTCAAACCTACAGCTTTGAACTGTTACGGAAACAAATTAATTTTGGCAATAGGTATGCCTGTAACGGCTGCAAAATTACAGGGCCACGAAACCGGTGTTAAGAGAATCGACCAGTTGAGTTTACCTTCGCCTTTGTCCCAGCACATTAGATGGCATTAATAAATAACAATTACCGTCGGTTAGCGAAACATGAATTATTCTATTTCGCTAATAGTCGTAGGTACCTAAACCTAATAAATATTATATTGTTTTCGATCGTTTTAAACAGCGGTAGCAACGGGAAACTAGAGCATGAATCTAGAGCGGCTAAATTAATTAAAAATAAAAAATAAATTATTTTCTCAGTTACACGGTGAAACATAAAAAATGCATGTTTAATTATATTGTTATTGTTAGCCATCCGTAGGCCCTAGGCACTGATTGAAAAAATTGACTTTATTATCATTATTTATTATAGATACCCCAGTGGCGTATCTGAAGCTCAATCGATGAAGGGGCGGTTTACAAATTGTAATACACCACAAAATATCGTGAGGCGAAAAACAAAGCAAAAATTATAATTTTTTTTTATAATTCCTCTCTTTGGCAATCATAAAAAATAAAAGAAAAAAAATGATACATATAATATGTATAAAAATATGTTACTCTCGTATGTTACTCGTATGTTACGCTCAAGAGCCGAAATCGGGCAACTCTCAGAAATGTGAAAAATTGAAATTTACGGACGTTAAAGTTTTGCCTAAATAATGTCGGCCTCTACTAAATAGATTTGTCTGGAAAAAAGCCGAAATATGATTTTTTATGACGTTTTGCCCAAGTATCGTGGACATTTCGCGTTTCGCCCGGGCATTTCTGAGATTTGCACGATTTCGGCGTTTACTCGTAACGGCCGTGACATAACATGCATAATATGTATACATTATGTACTCATATTGAAAAACTATACACAAAAATATTTAAAACGATTTTAAAACAATATCAACAATCTTTTTTTCTCATACAAACCAATCTATGATGACTACTGTTTGGATATCCACATCGATATCCCTATATATATATAATATGTATTATAGACAAAACATTGCCCTAGTTATCATTATCACTATATTTTGGTAACGCTGATAAAAATATCCAAGAAATAATAAATAACACGGTTAGGTTATAAATACTATGTTATTTTATTGCCTATAAACCTATAGCCATGGTTGAAAATTTCCAAGGAGGGGCGATAGGGATCAAATACGCCACGGAGATACCTTTGAGTTCACGGGTTTAGATAAATTTGTTCTGGTCTTTATTTCATTGAGGTTTTAACACCATAATATTTGTATACTTTCTCTTAGTGAATATTCTTGAAATGAAAATTGTTCTTGTACATTTCTTATTTCAAACCATTTACCGTAGGCTCATTACAAATAAATGTTTCCAAAGCGTATGGGAATAATTGGCATACCGTAATATTATAACATACTTAATCCTCAGTAGGTACTTGTGATGCATCTAAACTAAGATCTAACGCGAGTGAGTCTATAGACCTACACAGACAGACAGATATAAAATTCAAAATCGTATAATGTATACATGGATATTTATAATTATAATTATTCATTTTATACAAGATAATAATATTATATTCAACTAAATATGTTAAAAAACTTGCATTATTTTCTGTGTAACACTAGAAATTAATACATCCATCAAAAGAACATCAAGCAACACCCAAGAGAATACCATAACGGTATTTAATCAATCGGACCAGTAATTAATCAAAATGTTTAAACTCATTGGTTATTATTGATTCTTAATATTTGTTTCTGGAACATTTTCTTTCGTCGATTTTGCAATACGGATTTTTTTCCAGAAATACAGACAACACGTACGACAAAAATACAAGACGAATGCTAATGTGAGGGAAATGACAACAATTACATCTAAAAGATAATACTGGAACCAGTGCAGATCGTTGGCGGCGGTACGCAGAGACGGCGCTCCTTTATGACGGATAACGTATTCTATCCAAAAGACCGCGTTGTCCATAATCGGAATCGGATTGTCTCGTATTATGGCCGACGCTCTCTTGGCTGCTATGCCGAACCTGTAAAAAATTCGATTCGATCCGTATGTGACGTTGTAAACCCCGTCATAACGAGAACCTATGCATAACTTACCTCGGGTACTGAAGTAGCAACCGCAGCTTCGATCCGAACTTGTCGGCGGTCAGATCGAAATATGGCACGTACAGTGCGAATCCCCTTTGCTCGACTCCGACCGAGTTGTGCGTCTGGTCACCGAACACCGGTATAGACAACATCGGTACTCCGTGGTAGATGGACTCGATCAAACTGTGAAAGCCCCCGTGCGTGATGAACAGTCGACAGTTGGGATGGTCTAAACAAAATTAAATACAATTCGCCGACATATCACTACTCGATCAATGCGGCATGGCTCCGGCATACTTAATATATCGTTTTGCGGGAACCATTTTCGGACAATGATGTTTGCGGGCAATTCGGGCAGCCGATCGTCTTCCCACTTCCACAGCACCGTCTGCTCGATTTTGGCCAGCTCCGATAACAGAATCAAAACCGTTTCCTGTGGCATTTTCGACGACTTGATGACCGATCCCAAACTGAAGTAAACCACCCCGTGCTGAGCCGTGTCCATGATCGCTTTGAGATCCTGTACAGAACATAATAAACGTTTTTTATATTATAATCAGCCGAACGCGATCCGAGGTTTTCTGTCACCGTACTCGGGGTAGTGTTTTTGCCGGTTTTACGTGCATGCCGGCCACCTGTACGTAGCTGGGTACGGACGGCGCTACCGGGTTGACGAGGGGATGACTGTTGACCAGCGTCAACGACACGTTCCTAAGCATCGTTTCCAGGTCGGGCCTTTGTTCGTGTCCGGCGTACGCGAAGTACTCGTTCATTATTTTCCGTTGCTGCGGTAAGTACACCAGCCTGTTGACCAGCGTGTTGAACACGGCAGACACGGTGTTCTCGGCCCGTTGCCAGAACGTCATGGGCGCCACGTAGGGGGCTGTGAAGTCGGCCAAGTACGATGGATCGTACGGGTTGCCGTGCCATTGTGACACCCGTGGGTTTGTGTTGAACGGCAAAAGTTGCACCACGGGAGCCCCGTACTTGTGGCCCAGAACGACGAAGCACTCGTGGAAGAAGTTTTCGACGATAACTAAATCGAACGAAGAACGATCGTGTAGGATGAACTCCTTGACCGCCCGTTTTTCCAGCGCGTTTCTCGTGATCAGCGGACCCAACCACAGTACGTACAAATATTGTGGCAGTTTGTTAACTATACTGTTTTTGTCCATGAAGTCAATACCTAATTCGTAATTATTTCAAAATTGCATTAAATTATTGTTATATCTTATTTTAAATACTTGTAAGTCGTAAGTGTTTTTATTTGGCACACTTACAATTTTGTTCTCTACATTATAGGTACTAGAATTCGTGACTTATTGCACTTAAAATCTACAAAGTACGTGTTTAAAAAAAACTTCGTGTGAAACATTTGTGTAGTCTTAGACAATTTTATTTAATAAATTACAGTTATTAGAGAGTAGGGGACTTAAACCGTTTACAATTTTTACTTTTTTTAATATTATTTAAGTCCTTTTTCCACGGTATTTTTGATGGTTTTAAGCGCTTTTTTGTGGATTTTAAGTGCCGAACCCAATACATAATAATATATTACCTTTATTAAAAATACCCAGTAAAATTATTGTTATACATATATCAGTCAAATGAAGCCCAAACTAAATAAGTCAAATAAACCGCATATCTGATTTCCTTGAGAGTTAAAACTGAATAAAAATGTGATAATAACCTACCCATTATTAGGAACTCTAAAATAATACAATAATTGTTGTAAATTGCTGTGTTGCTGTGTAACAACATTTTCATTAGTTTTTTCGTACGTTCGTGACCTCGTGGAATCTTTTGAAACTATCGAAATTTGAATTCATTAAAATGTCCTTTTGCATTTAGTTGTCTAAAGTTATAGAACAAACCTTCGTGCGCATTTTTACTGTCTCGAAATAAGTGCATTAGGATGAACAAAAACCACACATCAGTATTGCAAATTTTGATTATTGTTCTGCTCAGAATTTAATAATATTATAAAATTACGTACATATAATCTTTAATATGTATACATGCATTAGGTAATAATTAATTTACATATTATTATCGTTGACGATTCAAATATTTTTTTTTCTTTTATATAACGTTCCGCGTTGAATTTAATCTCTCATTCAGTATGTTTTAAATTAAAAGTTTTTTTATGATTTTAATTTAATTCGTAAACGATTTAGGTTAATAAAATCAAATAAAATCGTCGTGTTAAGCGTTCAACTTTAATTACGTTAAGTAACGTTAATCACGGAATTGAAAATTACGAATTACCTCTCGCTATTTCGTTGATGTCTACTGGGACGTGCGTGTACCAACCGTTCGCCACGGAGTCCAGTGGGTAAGGTGAGACCAGGGTCAAATTGTGTCCTCTAGCCACGAGCCTCCCCAGAAGCGGCTTGAACCCATTAAAATGACTTTTGGTCTCGGTTGGTAGAAATGCCAAAATTTTAGACGGGCTTGCGTCTGGTAATTCGTAGCAACTGCAGTAGCAAAAGCAGCCAGTCCACAGTAGTGCCTAAAATAAATTAAATAAAGACGTTTACATCATATATTACTAAAAAGAAACTCGTACAATCTTTTTAACCTTTTTTGGTTTATTAAGGATATATTTTTTTTTTAGAATAATAAAAATTTAATTTTTGATTAAAATTGATTCGAACGTTTTATCCGTCATTCAAACTCCTCGACTTGTATTAAAGTATAATAGTATTTCTTTACTCACGGTCAGCGATAATGGAAAATTCATCTCCGTCGCATCCGGAAGACGTAAAATAATCAACGCGAATATTGTTTACTGTTTCGTTATTCGAACCCTTGTTTAATGCCGGCAGACTTGCCCGGTATAATCGGCCGCGGGAGTGAATTCATATACCATTAATGGACATCAGCTATCGAAAAGTACTATCAAAATATAATCGATTTTTAGACGCTGATGACGTTCGAAAATTTGAACCATATCGAAATCGTCACCTATTTAACAATCGATAGTGTGCGCACACCTAGTGCCGTAGTTGGTTTCCCTCTCCCAGCACTACAAAACGAATGATGTTGATAATTACGTTGTGCAATCTCACACCTTCCGTGCACGTTCAGTTATATTATTTTCCCCGTGGATTGTGCACGGGCATTGCCGCAACTAAAACTTCGAGGCCCCAGTGCAGACAATTTTTAGAAGCCCCACGTTAGAATTTCAATACATTGAAATATTACAATACATTGAAATATTACAATACAATATTGTACACATCCTTACACACTATATTGTGAGGTCAACCTGGCGGAACAATACACTTTAATGCATAGCATTTGTCTGGTCATATCTGTACTTATTATATAGTTTTTATAAAATAGTTAGAAGTAATAAAATGCCTTTACGATACCGTGTTCATTCAATTCTAAAATATTTTGAGGCATATAAGAAAATTAAATTGGAAAAACCGGAAAAAAAAAACAAAAAATGAACAAATTTACGGCGTACGACTTCGTTCGCTTAAATTCCTCTGTGCGCCACTGATAGGTAGGTATGTCAATATAATTTATTTAACGCACCAATACTGCCTACCTAAATGATTGTTCAAATATATTTCCCCCCTTTTTTTTTTTTTCTTTTTTTTTTTAATATTGCCCAATTTACTTTAATAAGTGTATAATAATTATACATCAACAAAAGTAACTAATTCCAGACTAGTAAGTAGCAATTATATATTTTATAATTATATGCCAACACATTTTAAAAACTGTGTTGAAATATAATACGTATACTGCGGAAAATGGTATACCTCAAGTCCGTATTTATCAAGTATAACCTAAAAATGTTATAAATTAAAAATATTTTAAAAAAAACGTACGAATTTAATAAATAGAGTAGGTAGGTATTTCAAAATATCTATTAAACTTTTTTCAAAACGACCCTGTATGTATAATATATGATATGTAGTATATATCAATATACAAACACTGGTTCAGGATGCATATTATATATTATGATTATGAAGTTCGATAGAAAAAAAAAAAAAAAAACTACCACTTGAGAAATACGAATAACAACCCCCTCTGTAATCCGGTTAATTTTTAAGTCGTATTTCGTTATACGTTGCAGGCATCAATTATTTACTAATATTCTCACCTCTGGAACGTGTATAACAGTCATTAATATTTAAGTACATACTGTCGATTTTCGTCTCCACGGATGTAATTAAAAACAAAATATCAACTTTAAATATACAATAATACGTTTTCATACAGTCCAATACCCGGGCTCTGTTTCAGTAGCGTTTTATCAACCATTGAATAAGGTAATAATATTATATTGAAGTCACATCCCAATCAAATATATTTTTTTTGAAGCTTATAATATGAAAACAAAAATTAAAATGCTTAAAACGTCTTCTTGGTTTTACTATTTTTGTTCATTATATCTCGAGCATATTTCGATAGTACCATATTTCAAAAGCCTCTAATTTTATTTTCTCTTTTGTACCAAAAGTTTCAGTTTAAAAAAATACTTTTTGTTCCAAAGTTATCAAAAATCAAATTCAATTTTGTAAATTTTGTGAAATCTGTTGTATAAAATATATGATTAACAATATTATATTTATAATAACAAGACTTATTTTAAGTGGGCGCCTAGAAATTATAATGTATTTTTAATATTTTAATATTTTTTTACAGATTTGCCAGCATACCTATACGGGCTATACGACTATTAACTTGCTGTTATCATGGATGTATTAAAAAACAAAGATCTTGCAATCGACTTGAAAATAATGAAGCTGTGTTTTTTTTATCATATGTTTAATCCGAATTTAAAAACTGTTTTTGGTTGTAACGTTTATAGATTATTGTACATTATATTCACTGTTATTTCACAGTGTTTAGTACTTTATGGTGTGTTGGGCTATTTTTTCATAATGGACGATTCTATAAATGAAATCGATTTTTTCGTTAGCCTTTTAATTTTATCACATAATTATCATTGTTTGCTGAGATTGAGCTTTTTATGTTTGAAACCGAAAGCTATCTGGGACGTAGTTGACGTTAGTCGATTCAATTTCTTCACGAGCAAACTGTGTTGTAAAAATGTGAAAATATTACACGAAAATGGCGAGAAAACGAAGAAAATTAACAATTTCTATTTTTTTTTTACCCTGGTCGCCGGGTGTCAGTGGATAATAGTTCCTCTCGTGTTGAACTTGTTCAAAAAGTCAAGTACCACAAGTCATAGAACCCAAAATATTTTAAATTTGTCGTTTCCCGTGACCACGCGTACATACAATAATTATTATGTAATATTTTACTTGATTGAAATGATAATAGCGTTGTGTATGATGTCCGTTTTATTGATGGTTGAGTCGACGTTAATATCTTTCTGCCGGGTGATAATCGGCCAACAAGAAGTACTCGCACAGGCGTTCGAAGATGTTGGAGCCAATAACCTGCAAACACAAAAAGGCACGTGACTTTCATTCACGTCATTTTTAAAATTTGTCTCATAAGAAGATGTCTGTATATGTCGTAAGAAATAGTATCTTTACAATTTATGTAATGAAATCTTGATTTGTTCCGTGATATAACTGTAATTTGAGGCATACACTTTGGGGAGGAGAGCTGACATTTTAAATCACTGCTGCCATGAAATTTAGTCAAAACCGCCACTGTAAAGACTTATAAATATGGACATGATATTATCTTAAGAATCTCGTAAACATTTTTAATAACAATTATAAAAATGTCCTTATTTTGATTGCAGAACATTACGACGATTTAAAATCAATTCTGTTTGATCTACAAAAACTAGACTTGTGAGTATTTGTTCATCGTATTTAATACATAATACATTACGTATATAGATAGATAAATGATACAGTTACTAATAATAAACATCACTATACATTTAAAATAAATAGGTAAAGCGGTATTCATATATCTATAGGTATGATTTATCGATATGATATAAAAAGTTATTCAATTCAGTTATTAACATAATACTATTATAGTGTCGGTCGACCTAAGTAAAAGTCATAGGTAATTAATTATCACGTTTTACATGCTTGCGATTTAAAAAGAAAACATTACCATAGCGATGACATGACATTGATTCGGCTATGTTTGTACATTTTAAACAGGCTTAGACCTCACAAACCCCCCCCCCCCACAATTTCCCCCAATGGTAGGTGCCTACATTTCAATGATGAATTTCAGTTCTTTGAAATTATTTACGATTCTGAAAGACGTTACGATCGCGATTAATAAAATAGTATATAAAAACATTGTTCGTTATTATTATTTATTTATAGATTTTTTTTTTTTTTTCAGGAAAATAAAATCTTATTATTCCGTTGTACAACCTATTATTTTAATGTACGTTGCATTTTCTTCGTGCCTGTTCGTCACCGTGACATACGCTTTAATTTTGGTATGATTATAATTTAAATACAATATAGATGTAAACAAAATATTTAGGTATTGGTAATAGGTACCCATTTAAACGATCCAACTGTATAGATCATTTTTAATATACGAATCTATACAGTATAGACAATATTCAGTTCAAAATGTGAGACATGTGTACACGTTTTAATAATTTTAAAGTTTTTTTTTATGTTATATTGGTAATGTATTAGCTTTGCTCGACATCGGGACCGTTTCCAATATTTGAAGTGCTCAAGCTCGGCTCGTCGATTATCCTCGTCAGTTCACAACTATGTGTATGTTGTTATTTGTTCGGTGAAATAAACATTAAAGTACAAACAATAAATTATTATTTAATTTATTATACTGTTTCAACCCGTCCTATAATACAATAATTGTTTTCCTTTCTTTTTCGTGCAGAGAGAATTGGTTAATTTCGGAATATATTCTTGCAATTGGACCAAGATGGATTTACAGTTTAAAAAATTGTTACTGTTGTCAATGCGGATGAACGACGCTAACAAATTAATGATAAAAGCTTCCCCAAAGCGAGTGGTCAACTTGCAATTATACGCCAACGCAAGTATTTCGTAGCTGCCTACCTAACTATATATTATTACTTATATCGTTTAATTTAATTAATCAATAAATCAATCGACTTTTAAAGTGTTATCTCGATAAATTGTTGACAATAACTGCAATATATTATTCATTAGCGTTTGCCCATCCTTGTAGTTATTGAAATGTACTGTATTTTAGGTGCGTGGTCAAAAAGTGATTAGATAAGTCAAACTTTGACATTCTGAGGTTTAATGTATTTTTTGACAACAACAGATTCAGTCGCATTTTTCCTCTTAAGGTTTATCACTTTCTATTTTTAGGGTTATTGCAATTTATTGTCAATTTAAATCAATAGATATAGGTACTCATTTTGCTCATAATATTGACTAAGGTCTATAATAAAATAATTGTGTTGATTTATAAGTTATAGCTACCTATATATATATATATATATATTACGAATTTATGGTAATTGAGTCATATTCAAAATTAATTAACGTCGTAACGTAGTATTTAAATTAAAGATTAAAACATTATCCGTAAACCGTACTTGCTGAGACTGTGATTTTTCGACTTGACATATTTAGCCAAAGCACCTATGGTACCTATGCACTTACCTAGACACCTACCTACCTATACAAATAACAATTTGTAAACATTTGATTTCAGGTCATAATGACATCTTATAACATCGTATCTGTTATGCTGAAAACAATGAGGAAGAATAAGATATAGGTTATACAATTACCGAATATCATCGTAAAATACTTCTCATAATTTGAAACCAAAGTATATAAGATTAGGTTTAAAAATTAAGAATAAAGCCTAAAGCGTATAGATATTATATTGAGATTACAGTTGGACTTTTGACAAATCAAAATCTTTCAATTCAATCGACCGGTCAAGTATGATAAATTGTCATCACAATTCAATTCAACAATTAATTTCACACAGAATTTTAGAATAAACTCTAAAATAAACATACCTATCACACAAGAGGAATCAATTACTAATATTTATAAATGTATTATCAATGTTCATTGTATCTATATAATAATATCTGTCTGTATAAATAGGTAGTTGTAATTAAAAATAAAATATCTACATGGCTACATATTTTCTGAACTTATCTTATATTTTATGGGATGGGTAAATATACTGAAAGCTGTCAAAAATAAATGAAGATTTATAATTTTAATTAACTAATCTAGTCCAAATTCCAAGTTGTACATAATACTATTGTAAACACATGAAACTAAGTAAATTAAAGATAAATACATATGACATCTACTATTGCAAGTCACCTAATTACTTTTAACTAGATAAGACCCCTGTTGAACTGTTATTTCTTGATTTTCCAACAATTAAACATCAACCCAATTTTCTCAACGAAAAACCATTTATCATCAATACACGCTTTGAAATTTCAGAACTTTTGTATCCAAGTTTTATTATTTTGTTATATTTTTTCATGTTTTCAATGTAAGATATAATTATACAAATCTAAATACATTTCTAAATCTTTATTTTCTGTCTCACTTCTATTTTTCCAGTTTATTTTAACATCTTTTTCAGCATTTTTCAACAATCTTAATAATTTCAAACAATACATTTTCATATATTTTAAAGCAAAAACACCGGATTCCTTTCAATTTCTTTCTTGTTAACTTTCACAATTTTAGCATTTTTCATATATTAAACTTACAAATAAACCATCCTCAAATTTTATAAAATTTAAACATAAATTAAGATAATATGAATTTCTGTACAATTCTTAGAAGTTTATCCTAATTTGTATACTTATTAGTTCTAAAAAAACAATAAAAAACAGCAACACCAGTTCCATTATAGTTAGATATTGTTTTTAAACTTCATATACAGAAAATTTTTGAAAATTATAGCTTATTGACTATTGAATTCAAATTTAAATAAAAACACCACAGAACACAAAGTTCCGAGTCCTAATCAGTAACTATGTAATAAATTACAATTACATTAATACAATGTACATAGTTAACTTTTTTAGTCAACAATTTCAAAACTACCTAATAAGTAAACCTAATATTTGAACTCAACTCATAACACAGTTTTGACATTGATTTTTAAGTCATCATAAAATAAAATAGAATATTTTCCTTAATATTTGAATTACACCGACAGTAACTACAGTTCTGTTCAGCTACGATGATCTGAATCAACTGTCGTATACCCCGAACTTGGCGTGCCTTTCCTTCCTTCAGTAGCTATTATAACTGGAGGTCGAGTGTCGTGTGGATTGAGACCTGTCCACGTTCTGTTTTGAGTAACTGCTGATAAAGACATATCTATTCTGACGTTTAATTCTGAGGATGATTCAGCTACCTCTTTTGGCATTGTAATGTTTCTCAATTTATTAGTGACTAAAGAGACATCTGGTAAATCTTAAAAAATGTATGTAAATATATATATATTTTTTTTAATAACATAATAAATATAAACACATTAAATATTATCCTTACCATTAGTATTCTCAACACCTAAAGCCAATTCCATATCTTCAATATTAACAATCGGTTGCATGTATTCTTTTTGATTTTCAATAACTCCTTCTGCACATGTAATATTAACAAAGATTTCAATCTAAAATAATAAATTAATTATTATTAATGAAAGTATAGTATTAACCAAAAAAACGAAAATATATTAACCTCTGGAAAATTAGCCAGTTTAGCAACATTAGGACGTCCAACAGAAAAAATATAACATTTTTTATTTGCTTTTTTACACAAACATTTCACTCGATTAATGTTTTTTAAAAGGTCTTTGATACTTAAGCTACATACAAGTATTCCAATATGAGTAGAATCCCTTATTTTTTCTTTGATATAATGTTTTCTTTTTATTACTGATGTTAGTGTTCGTTGTGTTAATATATCACAACTACTTTCGTAAATGTAGACTTTGCATTCTATAAAACACATTTATCCAACTTAAGTATAAATTTCAATTATGTCATAAAGTACATAATCAGAACCATATTTTGTTACCTTTTTTTTCTAATATAAACCTATCTACGTTGTTCATGTAGTTATCGTGAACTATATAAACAATATGTTTGTAGTTTAAATTAGGAAACCTTCTACCGAACATATTTATATATTTGCCATCAGGGTCATTGGATATTTCATGTCCTGGTAAATTAAGGTCAGACAGCATTATTGATTTAATAGACACCAATGATTTCGCTAAACTGTCTAAAATAATACAATATTATATTAAACATATTTTAATTAAAATGGTAAAATATTTCTAAAATTAAACATTACCTCGAAGATGCTGATAAGCTACATCGTACAATACCAAAACCGGTTCAGTGTTCAAATCAAACGTATTGGATATCAAATCTGTACACTTAACAATATCTAAAGAATGTTTTGGCAAAATGTAATACACTTGAAGATGACTATTTGGTGTCAGACATGATCGGCCAAAATGTACAATACAGTCAGCCGATACATGTTCGGCGGCTGTTTCATCAACACAACAACTAAAAAATTTTATTACTTATAGGTAAGACTAAACCGACAAATGTGCAAGTCACATATGACTTGAAAAAATTAGATATGATTATTGCTCACCTGCCATAAGACGTATCACCAAGTATATACACACGATAACCCAATAGTCTTTCGAATTCAGATGATATCAGTACACTTTGATCCAACATATAGTCAGGTAACTGAATACACACCTATTTTACACGATATATCATTAGATAACATTTACAGATTATATATTTATCAAAAACGATTTACTTTTTCGAATTTTCTGCATTTGATCCATTCTGAACAGTTGATGATTTCCTCCGAATATTCCATTGTCATAAAGAATAGTTAGTATTTCCGTAGGTATGTATAAATAAAAATGTTTTTTTAAAAACAACTTAAATTCTAATTTTTAATCAATCGTAGTGGTTCGTGTGTGAAAAAATCCATTTAAATGTGTACTAACATCAGAGTAATTTAATTATTTGAATGACAAACAAAGAGTTTTCCGAAGTAGAATTTTACTTCACGAAGTAATGAAAAACGTATAGGTAACCGACGTAATAGGATATGGCGTTCGCCCGTTTGACACCAGTGTTAAGCAGATACGAGAAAATGAACTTAGAAAAAATAAATAGAATGCGTGATAACGATAGAGATTAGAGTATTTGATCACTCGTAAGGAAGCACGTGATTGTTTACAATTTAGTGTTTGTTTCTCTATCACTAGGAAAATTAGTTTTTCGTCTTAAAAATAATAGAAACTGTAGAGTATCTAAGTACCTACTGTGTATGTAAATACTGTTTGAAACTACCTATGTTCGAAAAATTGTATTGAAAATTATATATATGATTTACAGGTGGTTCAATATAATATGTGATAAATTTACATGGACTTAATTTATTAGGGTTTACATTAATTTTCTATGGCAACTCCTTCCTTATCAACGTATGTCACGAATTAAAATAAATAGGTGCCTACCAATTTTTTTTATAGTACCTACACGGGGTACCTACTAGGGAAAAACAGCTCCGTTAAAAATGCATACATATTCAAAAAACAATAACAATCAAAAACAATTTGTTGGTAAATATTGTAATGAATATTACATGACCCGGTAGTGCCGAAGTGTTTAAAATATTGGTACCATGACATCGTACATCAAGGAGCCCCTGTACCCCTTAGTGATCCCTCCCAGCTACAAAATCCACTGTATCATAGATAAATTAGGGCACCACTGTGTAACATATTGCACAGTATATTATAGTGAGTAAGTATATTATGATATACCTACCTACCTAATGATTAGAAATCCAGATATCCAATAAAATAATATAATAATGTATACCTACTTAGATAAATAGATTCTCCAACTCGGGGGGGGGGGCTATGGGTTTAGCGAAGTCGGGGTTCCGAGCTCTTACTGATATATAGCCCGGGCGGGTGATTCCAGTAGGCATATGGTGTTGTTTTTATTGGTTGGAGGAATTCATTTTATACCCAGTTGACAATAACGTTTTCCCTGTAATATGCGATCAGAGTACCTACTCCCGCGGTAGGTACCCTTACCTGTTGTATGAAGCGACCAATGGGGTTGTGTCAGATCGTGTAAAATTCTGTCAAACAGTATGAGGAGTTCTAAACAAGACTAATGCGGATTGTCTCATCTCGGGACAACAGGTAAGAGGAGGTATCTACCATGGTGCATGATGCTTACAGATGACATAGCGATAGCTTTGATAGGAGAAAATGTAGAATAAGTTAAAAATAGGCTCGAGGAATGGAAAGTAGCACTTGAAGGAAAGGGACTTAGGGTAAGTAGAAGTAAAACATAATACGAGTTCAAGACAGCTAACGACAATACCCAAGCGAGATTATGAATTTTAAATAAGTACTTACCTAGGATTTTTAAACAAAAGAATCAAAATTGACCTTTCTAAATAGGTACCGTCGCAGTGAAATTTTCTTACAAAAAGGTGCTACACTTGAAAATTAGAGCAAAATTTCTGACAAAAAATTGTTCATAGAAAAAAATAAACATCATTGTAAACCCAATACATTCCTCGCTCTATCCAGAATCTAAAATATTGTGTTACTCATATAAATAACATTTTTTTAACGAGCTACAAAAAAAGTCATCAATTTTATTTTCTTAAACTTTTCTGTCAGGTATACAAATTCCTAGATTAGGCTGTCTTTGGTTCCCCCCCCCCCTCGGAGATAAAGGTCTGAAATAAACACTGGTGAGAATCGTAATGAAAATAAACGTAGAACAAAAAATTTAGAGAGGAAGACTGAAATATTGGAAAAAAAACTGAAATAGTTGGATACGATTGAGAATATGAGGACAACTGCCAGTGAATATGAAATAGGATATCAGGAAAAGTGAAAGCTTAGAACAAGGATGACCGACTCTAAATATTTGGTATGAAGGTGAAGGAAAAGAATATAGATAAATAGTTTCCCTATTATCTTTGTATAAATATACTTAAATAGATTCCTAAGGTAAAATATATCTACAACCTTTACATCCTACCTAGTTATGGTTATTTTATTATTGTGTTACTTAGGTAGGTAGGTACCAGCTATTTTTATTTTATAATATTAATAACCCGATTTCCATTTCTATTAAATATGAATAGATACCTACTTACGTACTATGTACTACGATACGTACCTACTTCATAAAACTAATGAAAATGTTTCTGCTGTAAAAATTAAAAATAAAATAAAGAAAGAAATCAAATTAACCAACCACGCATCTGCTCAATATTTTTAAATAGGTAGGTAAGTATCTAATTAAAAATGAAAAATATTTAATTAGCAAAACTAAAAATTGAAAAAAAAATATTAAAAATATTTTAAGAATTAAGCATTAAATAAAAGTCAAACTCTTCTGAGTTCCATGTAGACCAATTTTATTTTTTCTTCTATAACCAGTATTTGATTTTTTGTATATCATTATGAATAAAAACTAAAACTCATCTATTTGAGCTAGATAACAGCATTGCAAAGCCATGTTTTCAGTTTTTTCAGTGAGCTGATATAAAGGAAAAAATAAATAAATAAATTTAAAAATATTAAGGTATAAATCTAAATGTTCTTTTAAACTCTGCATCTAGTAGATGCAAGTGTATTTACCAATTAGTATAACAATTAAAATATAATTTTTTTTTATGAGGAGTTTGTATCACCACAGATCATACATAATATGTATAATAAAATATTAATATTATTATATTTCTTCTTCTCTAGGTTATATTATATTCCCTTCCCCAATATTCGCGATCTATCACCATTTATTTGTGCTTTATAGCTTCTAGCTCCAGCATTTTTCGTAATTTTCCCAATAAATGTGTTGTGGAGTAGTACAGATGGATGGTCGATGAGAAAGCAATGGGAAACCATCACATTAAACATTCTTGATAGGCAGCTACAACTTTTTATCATGCAAAGGGATTAAAATACTATGCCATCCTAAATGTATAGTAAACGGTAGTGCATACTCACCAATATTTACTTGTTTATTAGATACTCTATATAGCTTTTTGAATTCCTTCAGTTAATAGTTTATCTACATACAAATGTAGACCAACAGAAGAAAAATAAAACTTGTTTTTAGTAGATATATTCGATCATAAAACAGGAGAAAATGACAATGGTTTTCAACATTATTATAATTTACAAAAAATGTACAATGTTTTTATCTGAAAATAAAAATTATAAACTGATAAGTTTCATATAAAAACCAATTTGAATAGTTTTATAAATGTAGTATATTTTTTTTTGATTAACTCAGTACAATAATATTTTGGTAATATATGAAGTTTTTTTATATTTTTAACATATACAAATAAATACAATGTAAATTACAATTAAGTTGATTGACAAACTTAAATTTGAAATAAGTACTATTAAATTCAATTGATTTTTGGTTTCTGCTCAAGCCATGACTCAATTTCTTTTATTCTCATATCCCACCATTCTTTTTGTTCTTCACAAATGGCATCAAATTTATCCCCACTGAAATAAATAGAAAAAAAAATTGATTTAGTACATTATACTAAATTAATAATTACATAACATAGTTTATTAATAATATACAATACAAATATTTAGTTGGACATACTTTATTTCTAAAATATCATTTTCAGTAAAAGCGAATCTCCAAGTTTTATCTTCATCCAGTTTAGCTACAGAATTTAAAACATCTATAACTTCATCTGGAGGCGAATTGAAAAGTTTTCCAATATCTTTACGATTGATATTTTTGCCTGAATCCAACAAATGAATCTAAAGGATTAAAAACAAAATAATGCAATCCGTGTAATACTTAAATAATATATTTCAGTGTTCTAAGTATGCTAAAATTTGTATTATTTTATAGGTAACAAATTGTTCTGTTTTTAAAAACAATTTAATATAACTATACATCAAATGCAAATACAATATAGATAACGTATCTTATAAAATAGAAATTAAATTAAAATGATAACGTTGTGGCGGTTATTTTTCTTAGCCGTCATATATCAATGTTCAGGTTATTCAGCCACAGGATAACTTTGTTCCCCACTTTTTGAGAGGTTATTTTCCTATTTGACTTTCCACACATCTTGCTGGAAAAGTCTTAATCAGTTTATAGAAGCCAGTCTTTTAAAAATAGGTGTGATTTGAGTATTTCTACTATCTTTAACATGGCGTTTTGTCTACATAGGTGGAGTGACTGGATATTGTACAATACCAGCAACCAATTTGTTTGTGTGGATCTTAAACTTTACTTAGTTTAAAATCTACTAACTTGCAATGTGTATTCCCTTTCCATACCGGTGAACCAGTACCTTGCTATAGAATATATGAGGGCCATAGTCAAAGAGGTCAGGACCTGAGTTAAGACCCTCCCCCCAAGTAATTTCAGCTAGTTTGGATACCAAGGATGTTCTGGTCTTTATTTTGGCTATTACTTTCTTCAGGTACTGTTTATACGTTAGCATGCAATCTAATGTCATGCCCAAGTAAACTTGAGGTAGGTTATACTTTACGGTTGGCAACAAAATTTTATGGTAAGGCAAGTCATGTGTGTATATTTAAATGCACTGGGGCATGGGCATTCCCGAAGAACTCCGTTATTAAATACATTTGTAATCTAATACCTATAATTTTTATTAACTAATACAATTATAATTTAATATTATTTAACACAACTACTACAGAAAACATCTTACAATATAATCTCTTAGGAGGCGCATGATTTCAGAAGACAGACCAAAATGAGAGGATATAGTGTTATCTGGATACAGTTCTTCACTCTTGATTGTCCAATTACCACAAATCAAAAAAGCAATTTTTTGTAAATGGGTCAAAATTGTATCAACACTTTCATCAGTTGGTACACCACAACTGTGTAAAAGATCTAATAACGTTTTTGTAGAAACCATTTTTGCTAAAACAAATTTGAATAATATATAATAACATAATTAATACATTATAACAGCTTTTAACCAATGGTGTCACTTAAAGTTGTTTACTCGTTCACAGTATTTTATAATTTAGTACATCAATTATTAATTGCACGAGAGAATTATCATAATTTAGAGTATATCAAACACCTACTAAATGTATTTTTTACAGTTGGTAAACAATTTATCATTCAATTTCATATTACCAGATGATCCATTTAAGTGGGTACACTCATTATCTCAGAAAGTATTAACTTTTTTCGGTATTCATTTTCTATAACATTTAAGAAACAAGCAGCTCTATAATTTAGTATTTACGTTATTTTTTATCGCTCTTATTTTTAGGTGAAAAACCACTACCTACTTTTGATTTTCAAATAGCAACCTATATTACAAATTCCATAAATAAATTGAGTATTAGTTAAAATAAATTTTATTGCTGGCATTTTTTATTTCTGTCAATCCGTTGATGAGATTTTCCACTTTTAAGTTTGGGTTGGAGAAGAGTAGTGGAGTTTCATTTGTGTGGCGGTACAGCGTGGCAGCTTGTTAATAATGCACCACTACTCTCCTCCAACCTAAACATAAAAATGGAATATCTCATCAACGGATCGACAGAAATCAAAAGTTTCAACACTAAAATTTATTTTAACTAATACTTCATTTATTTATGGACTTTTAAAAATAGGTGCCATTTGAAAAGTAGGCAGTGGTTTTACTCCTAAAAATAAGGGTGATAAAAAAATATATAAATATAAAATTATAGAGCAACTTGTTTCTTAAATTTTCTAGAAAACAAATTCTGAAAAAAGTTAATACTTTTCGAGATAATAAGTGGACCAATTAAATAGATCATTTAGTATATAGATACCAAAATAGAAATAAAGTATGTTAATATAAAGTGAATTTTTAATATGTGAATAATTTCAATGAAATGTAATTGCTAAAAAAAGCTGATATAACTTACTATTTAATAGAAGTATTTTTATTTTATTTTCTAAAGAATATAATTTGATATCATGGTGAGATAACTGACGAGCTCTAATTGAATCGATATTTTCATTGATGATTTTTATTTCCAATATGGGTTCTTGAGTATTAATATTATTGGTTGTATTCTTTATTTTTGGTAATGTAAACTTATCCAATTCCATCTGAAAATAAAGTAAAATATTTTTTTGAAATTATTAATATAAACTTAATGAGTGTATGTAACATAATATAAGATATAAATGGTCAATGTTATTTACCCTAGAAAAATATTGACCATTTGGTATAAAGTTTAAATGAACACAAGGTTCCATTGCTCTTTGTTTAACCATTTCTTGCATTTTTTTCTTTTCGCTTTTTTTACCTGGTCTATCTTTGAATTTGGCTATTATCTGCTCGCTTTCTTCTTCTTCTTCTTCTTCTTCTTCAGATACCTCTAAAAAGTAACAGTTCATTGTTACAAACTATTATACTGTTGAAAAAAGAAGATTAATAAGTTCTTTTACCATTGTCGTTTTGGGAATTTTTCTTATTATTGTTTTTTGGATCAACTTTATCAATGTGATTCAATTTAGGTAGCATGTTAAATGAATTTTTCAATGGACATAAGTGAAGACTTTGGCCAGATGCATACATTATCATGTCAATTGTATTTGTTGTTATCTTGTGTGATTGAAAACACATCTGGTCAACCATACCACTATAGATGTAAAACTAATAATAATCATGTAATTTCATTATAGTTTGTAACTACAACTTAAAATACATTGGATTTTAAACATTTTACAGCAATGTTAAAAAAAGAAGGGAGCTTATTATATTATAAACCTGTGACTTACATCATTAAAATATACGGACAAATATTGAAATGGTATACCTAATATAATAATTAATAACATTACAAAAAATATGTACTCATATTAATAAATAAAAAATATAATAATAGTTTAAAATAAGTCACTTAAATTAAATTATAATCATTAAGTAGAATAGTAGGTATACACCATGGCAATTAGAACTAAGGAAATGTAATCCCATTACAAAAACTAAAGTAAAATTAATACGATTTTCAATCAAGTTTAAACTATAAACTATATTAGGTATCAAATCATTTAAATCAATTATAACAAATTATCTTTTTTAATGATGTAACATGTAGATGATTTTAGGAGTATTAAATATTTTTAGTAAACTTTTGTACTTATAAGTAGATACTTTTAATTTTTAAAGTAGTACTATATTTGTTACAACTTATAGCAATGCATTATAATAGGTAGGTAGTAAATACCAGCTTTTTTTTTATTAACTATATTTATTAATACCTATATTAACAAGTTGAAGTTTAAATCATGTGAATCATAATAGTGCATTTCTTTTTCCTACTTAAACAGTGGGAGTGTCTACTTCTTACTCTAGTTCTATTCTCTATGGTATAGACATTCAAAAAGTATCATATACAAAGCAAATGTATAAAGAAAACAAGGTTAAATACATTCATTGTATTGTTAATATGATACAGTAATTAATAATTATTACATAATTATATCTTAACCTGGGATAACTACTTTTATCTTTAGAACTTTTGTCTGGTTCAACAGCCAATTCTTTTCCGTGCATTTCATCGTAATTTAAATTTGTGTCCAGTGCGTATGCCAATTCTAACTCTTCACAATCTGTTTTGTAATTGCACTAAAAATGAAAATAATTAAAAATAGAATACAACATATCTAAGTACAGAACAGATGAGGTGTGAGTATACCTGAGTTACAGTTGACGACAATAATTTATCGTGTTTTGCCAATCTCGTGGGATAGTGTAACAAAAGCAAATGTCTTAAATCATCACTTAAATAAACGGGTATCTAAATAAGATATAATAGTACATTGTAATAATTAGTTTAGGTTATAATTATAATAATTAGGTGAAAATATTTATGTATTAAAGACAAAAACCACACATTCATATCATTCTTACTTCTTTAATTACTTTATCGTTATTAGTTTTGGTATCCATAGTATGTGGACTATTGGATGCGAGATACAGATCATAAAAAAAAAAAAAATTATAAAGAAGGTCTAACTATGACAGTACCATATGCTCATAGGTATGTAATATGTATGTAGACATGCAGGTGTTTGAAACAATTTTAAAAATGATAAACGAAATCGGATCCGGCATTTGATGCAACATCTGTGATAACCTATTCTGTGATAATACAGCATAGAGCATAACAAGATATTAAAAACTTAAATATTGTACTCGTTATTTTTTTTCTATGTTGGCAGCACAACTAATAAAAAATGATTGTACTGGGCAAGCCACGGACTTAGAAGATCTTCTTATATATTATCAATTATCATATAGAGTTTAATGGGGCTAGGCCATAGAGTAACTATAATATTAGAAGTCTATGGTGCTAGGATGCTATACTATTTCCATAGAAATACTAATAAATAATAATACATTTATTAATATGTTTGGTTTTAATATCCATCTTGATGTTTACAATAATTCCTCTGACAAAATATCATAAATGTGACAACTACCCTATGTCCCGATTCTATATAATATCTTAAACTTAGAGATAGACATAAATTTATATTATCTTGATCTTAAATCATGGTCTCATCAGTTAGGTATCACTTTTATCTTCTAAGAGCATGCTAAGGGCACAAATAGTAAAAGGACATCTATAGTTTAGTCCAGAATGCAGAGTTGCAATAAGTTTAGTCTTGTAAGTTGTAATGAGCATTTACTAAAAGGTCGATAGGAGTAAAAGGTCTATGGGCTTTCGGTGTACCTATCACAATATTCATAATCACTAAATCACTGTCAATGTAAATACAAACAGGATTTTTTTTTTTTTTAAATTTCATTTGATAATGGTATCGTGTGATATTACGATAGGAAAGAGATAAGACATTGCATACGCATCGAGCGAAATACGCAAATCATTTGTGGTAGTGTGTATTATTTCCTATAGTTTGTTATATTTTTCATCTTCAATCTTTGTCGTTTAATCAACTCGAGAAAATGTGTTGAGTTGGTGAATTGATATTCAATCTTAGTGTTTGGTTATTATTTTAATCATGGCAAACAGTGACAGTGATGATATTCTGTCTGGAAATTTTCTAGAACCAGGTGAATTATTGGACAGTGATGAAGAACTCCCGGACAATAACGGTACCTCGAATGGAACAAGCCAGCCAATTCTACTAAATAGACCCAAAGTATGTTTAGTTGTTAATTAATCAAATGAATACAAATTTGAAATTGTCTATTGTACCAGTTGAATAGAAATACATTTCAAACCGCAAGTGTATCTAATAGAGATGAACAATCTACATATTACTCTTCTGACATCACTGACAAACAAGTTCAATATATTTTAAATAGGTACGGTAAAAAAATGCAATATATAGAATTAGTAAATAAAAGTTTGTTTTGTATTACAGTTTGCACATGAACAAAAACAATAAAGATATTCATTTAAATGCTTTACATTTGCACGGAGTTATGGGAATGACTACTAAAGATATTATTGATTATTTTGATCAATATGATCCGAAATTTTTGGAATGGGTATCAAACTCTGAATGTTAGTTACTTATTGTTTAATAAATGCTTTACTATTCTAATTCTATGCGAACTGTTCAATTGTATAGGTAATGTTGTATGGTTGGATGATAGAATGCCTACTAGAGCATTATTGGACTTGACACGTCCGATCCGTGAACTAAGACATATTGCATCTGTAATTGATGATGAACTTAATGATGAAGATGGGATATTAAATGAAAATTCTAATGACGATCACATGGATCAAGATGACGTAAGAGTTTATTAACATTTTGAATCTCTACTTTTTTACATTATTATTAATATAGTATAATATTATTTTTAAACTGTAGGTATTGGTATCGGAGGATTATGTTAGTTGTGTTGGCAATGAGTTGCCTCCGGGTATGTGGCGAAAATCAATTAAGCCCCACGCAAAAACCAAATGCATATTGATGAGATATAGTACAATATATGACAAACAAGATTTAACAAATAAAAATATTGATTCAGAAGATGGAGGTAACTATCTTATATAATTATTTTTAATGAAGTATAGATACAAATGTAGTGTAACACAATAGTGTTACACTATTTATTTTTTATGCAAGTTAATTAAGTTTTTTAGGTGAAGTTAATCAAAATTCCTTTAACTTGTGAGTTATGATAAAGATTTATAAATAAATAGTCCATGAATTTTGTTACCAAATTTGTAATCATTATTTTCTACTGAAATGAAATGAATAATATTATTTGTCTTCCATATATTATAATGTTTGCTTCGAATGTACAACAATAGAATAAACTAAAATATCTAATTTTAATACTCATAAAAATCTAATATAGTTTATAAAATTAAAAATATAATTATTATATTTTTTTGACATTTTAGTAATTTTATTTTTATTTTTTAATTGTTGAAAAAGTTTAATACAACTGTCTTTCATGATTTAAAATATTAATTTAAAAAATTTAATACTAAACATATTTGTTGTGAATTGTAATGGATCCTGTAGAACTTCTTGTTTTTCAATTTAAGTATAATCATAATAATAATGTGTTCAATAATCAATGGACTAAATATTTTCCAATGTAGCAGCATATGCACTTAATGAAATAAGCGACATACAAATTGATTATTTTTGTTTTGGACTTTTAATCTAGACACAGTTGGCTTCAACCAACATGTATATTATTTCAATGGATAATCAACAATTTTTATTAAATTTGACAGCTTTATGATGGCATTCATGGCATCAGGATTATTCTTTTTTCAATCAGATATCCTGATGATATTATCACTCTTCAAAAAAGAATTTCACTTGGTGTGGTGCATGTGATGAATTGTTTTTTTTTTCATTCTTATAATATACCAGTTACTTTATATTTTTTTTATAACAACATGTGATAATTCCACTGCAAACACCAAAAATTATATGCCTTTATTATTTCATGACGTTCACTGATGCAATCACAGAAAAACTAAATACACTCGTAATATCTGATTAAATTATAAAAAAAACTTAGTGATAAGAAAATAAATTTTAGTTTCTTTTTATTAGCATACTAATTGAGTTAATCCCTAAATAATGTTTTTCGTAGTTTATTAACAATAATTTGAAGTAATTTCGATAATTACTAAAATTACAAAAAACATAAAAAATGAATATTTTAAGTTTACTAAATTTATAAAGTTCAACCTCTTTATTTTTCTATAATTAAAATGATAAACCATACAGATTATTTTTTGTAAATAAAAACTTTAAAAAATAGATTGTAAAGTACATTCGTCTTAAATTATTTATAAACATATATTAAATGTATGTAAATTAATTTTATTATAGAATATGCATTATTTTCACATGAAAGTCGTAAACGAAAGTTTGTACCAATTAGTATCAACCATCCTGATATTGGTGATGAAGTGTTGAAAGGTGATGTTCGATGGAAATTAGCCAAGAATCCTGGAATTAATACGTGGACTGCAGTAGCTAAGACTTGGAGCCAATATGATAATGCTATGGATGCTAAGTGTATGTATTTTTATTAATTATATATTTCCTATGTATTCTAAAATTCTTAAACAGTCAATAGGCTGTTTTATTGTTGATTGATGTGATTGGCATATAATTAATCCAGGGATTTTCGAAGTGTGTCACAAATTAGTTAGTAACAGAACAAAAAACAAAAATAAACAATCATATAATATAAAATAAAATATTAACTGTAAGTTTACTCATTTATGTACCATCAAACCATTAAATATTTTGTATAACATTTGGGTACATTTATTATCTATGATTAGTGGTCGGCTGTCGACCAGTCAATATTGTTTAAATTAGTATAGGTACATTACAATTTACCTGGTATTATCCACCTGATAAGTTTATGTTCATATAACTACATGTCTGCACAACTATTATATCAAAATGCCACGATACTTGTGTTTTTACTTTTCATAAAATTATGCTTATATTGGAAACAAATCAAGAAACAAACTTTAAGATGAAAAATTAAAAGCTTTTCAGTTTTCTGTTTATCCAAATATATTTAAAAATATGTAGTCATAAAACATTATATAAAGTAAAATAAAACTACTCTTTCATTTCACTCATGTTCATTTTTATTTTTTATTTCTGTAAACAACTTTTCTATCAGATTTCTTGTTCAATACAAAAAATGATAAGAGACCTATTTGTTACTTTTTAAATTTATTTGGTGCATATGAAAATCATTTTTTTATTTTCCAAATAGTTTTCATAAGTATAGGGGAAAAAATAAAAATGTATACAAAACCTGACAAATTTATAATTGTAAAAAGCTTCATTTTTTTATTTTGATTTTCTACTAAAAATCTTGCTCAGAAATTAAGGTGTAGAATCATTTTCATTTTAAAATTACATGTATGTGATAGATTAATATGGGAAACAGAGACCACTTCAGAAGAGATCTAGGACCAAGATGGCAGAACTTTTATAGTTAAGAAAATGGAGAAGAGGAAAATAAAATAATTATTGAGATTTCATCATCTATATATACAGTCTAAACTATTGACCTATTAACTAGTAAAAAGTGCCTCCACATTCCTCTGTCAATTGGCCATTAAGATAATACAGAGTGAAAGAGAGTTCCAAACTATGTTTTTTGCCTTATATTGTCTTTATAGCATATAAGTTGGAGGGGGGTCAGTGTGGTCCGTTGTACAACAGTAATAAGTCTATGTTCCAAACACTTTTTTCTCTACCACTCTATATTGTCTTGTTATATCTCTTTCTAGGCACCATCCATTAATAGGTCTATTATTAACAACCCTGTTCTGAAAGATTTCTACAGTTCCATTTTTCCAAGATAACTATGCTTACAATTAATAACTGATAATTTTGTTAAAAAAAGATTTATATTACATTCAGGATACCTAGCCCCTCTCTCTTTTCTATAATTATGTATTTACTTATGCAAATTAAAATATTTGTAAATTACAAATTAAATTAAAACCTATGTAAATAATTTTTATTAGCTGTATTTAATTTTTAAATATAATTAATGTTATAGATAAACCTAAAGTCCGTACTCCATCACCACCTCCGCCAACATCGTCATCAGGTGCCGCTAGTGAAGATGATGATGATTATAATGAGGCTAGGTATAGAGAAAGAAAAATACCAAGAATGCGTATGTATGCAGATGATGAGACACAGGTTATTGTGAGGAAACGTTTGAACTCTAGTTCAAATTCAAGGTTAGATTTTCATTAATAAATTAAACAATATAATTTTAAAACTACACATTTTTTTTAATACTTTCTCATTAGACATCAAGTAAATATAGCCAATGATTTACGCGAACGTTTAAATGGACGTTTAGTATCTGCAAAAGTAGCTAAAGCAATTCGAGCTGCTAAAGCAAATCAGCATGTTGATGATGAGCCATTTGAAGTAGACGTGGAAGATGTTAAGGAAGAGGAATGTATAGATATTCCATTTAGCCGTGCAACACGTCGAGATATTCCACGTCGCCAGTATTTACATGAAGATGATGATGATTATACTAGTGATGAAGATGTATATGAGAAACCACACATAAAGAGTAGACTAGGACCTCACAGAAAATACGGTTACCGTTATAATTCTCGTTCTGTGTCTCCACTTCAAATACAAATCAATAATGACAAATACTATAAACGTACTAATCGGCGTTGAAATGCAGGTTTATTAATAAACTTTAAGATTCAACTGACTTAATATTCAGATTTTGAAAATCTTTTTAATAACTATTTTATAATTAAAATTATATTAATCATTTTTCTCTTTACGTACTTTTACAACCATTTAGTTTTCTAATTAAATGATGTAGAATAAAAACACAATTATTTGTAAAATTGTGTGTACCTATTGTGTTGTGACAATTCCTAAATGCTTGTTAAAAAATTGTGCATCACTTTTTCATTGATTCCATTAAGATCTACTTTTAGAAAAATATATTATACTTTTATTTATAATTATGAGTTATGTACCATTATCATATTTTACATAGAATTTTGATCTTATAATTAGCCTGGTTCGTATATTTATTAATGTATCAGTATTAGTATCGTAGAATTTTTAATATTTGATTTATCAACAATATTAGTTTTTCCAATATGCAATTCACATTTTATTTGACTGTACTCTTTTACAGGAGTGTCAAATTGTTCAGATGTAATCTGGGTTATGTTGACCGATGAGAAGTTGGCGTAGCTTGCAAATTATATATTTTTTGCTGATAAACCAATTATTAGTGATAATAAAGTGAACAAATAAAGTCATCCATGACAGTAACCATTTTTTGTATTTTATTTTTTCTGTATGTAACAATTAGCTAGTGGCTGTGGGTTGAAAGGTACCCTTGTTTTTAAGCAAACTAGTTGTGTAATAAATATGTTTACATGCACGAACACACCGTTTTTAATATTATACAATGCAATTTCTATTTGCTTTTGTTATCATTAATCATATCTTAGATAACAGTTTAAATATTAGCCAATTAGAATTAATGAATAAATTACGTACATTTATTTGCTCAATATTTATGTAGGATTTTTATTAAGTTCAAAGTAGGTACATCTAAATGATTCAGTAATTTATCTAGCAATTCAAGACAACAAAAATAATTAACAAAGTAATTTTATTTAAAAAAGATTACTTCGTGTAATGTTAGAAAATGTTACTAATGGAACACTTTTATACTCTAGTTTAGACTGTTTGTTATCATATTAAATTAAAGGTTATGTTTTTTATAGATATTTAATTATTTCACTAATACAATACGGTTCAAAACCGAGAGCACTATTTCACAAATTCAATAAACTCTAAAATTTGTAACTAGGATATCAAACAATATGAAAACTACAAATTGATTATTCAAGCTAAGTTTATGACTAAAGCATAACAAAAATTATAGGTACCTATCTCTAAAGTCTAAACTATTAGTAACTTTATATTATTTTGTTGTTGAATTTCTGATTATTATATTATATTTCTGAAATATTAATTTGTGAATAATTTGCTTATTGTACTTTTAATGTTAGCATATTTATTTATTATAAATTATAAATTTAACAAGCAAAACGTCTTTTAACAATAAGTATAGACAACAAACAATACATAAAAGGCTTTTGAACAATCAACACATGGTATTAAAACACATTCCATGATTTCTTTCACGTATTCTTTCACCCTCAAACTATACAATTATTATGCTTGTCTGTAAATTTGGGGTTTATTTTAAGTCATTTATACTGGATAGTACTTCAGTTAAATTAAAACTTAAAAAGACAGACATACTCCACACAATGGGTGGCTCACTGTTGTAGGTGAGAAGTTGGGAAGGTAGGTTACAGTTATTTCACTTGTGTTTATGAGTAACAATAAACCATTACTTACGAAAAACAATTCAGAACGAAATTTGGTTATACATAATTTGAAAAGGCCGTAATATTATGGTTTAACAATTTTATCCACTGAGTACCTACCAAATAAAAATTACGTAAAAAAACTCGCAAAATTAAAATGTCTATAAATAACTTAAAAATGTCCTATGTCTAGAAAAAGCAAATATAAGTTTTGTGTCGAAATCCTAAGTACGAATTTTTTTAACTCAATTACAACACAATTTAATATAATTCAACCATTATCGCTTTTCATTTTTCGTCGTTTTTTAGTTTTACCTTTTTTATAAAAACTATTTTAAAAATCATTAAGAAAAGAAAATAATTACTCTATAGTACCACCCAGAGAAAATTTCTTTTTAAAATCAGTTCTACACTTGATAATTGGAGTAAGCTTTATTGTAAAAAATTTTTTTACGCAAAACTTCATAGAACCATTTTTGTAGATTCGTTTTGTACGTAAAGAAATTTTCCCTAAACATTATAATTCTTGAGATAATTGTGAAAAAACAGTTAAAACATACGATTTTACCCCCCCCCCC